AGCAAAGGGGCATTCGATATTATAAGTCGTTTGTTGGGGATGTGAAAAGTCTCTTGTCCATTGAGATAAAAAGGTAGTTAGTAAATTCCTTAACTTGTAACTAGGATACCAACCACCAACAAGAATGCTTCACTTCTTCAATGCCCCTCCAAACTGTACTGTGGAAACGCTTAAGGAGGTCAGTCTACAAAGATTATTTACCAGTTATTTGAGAACAGCTTTTCGTTCACTAATGCCGAAATTTGCCCAAGAATTTCCAACTCTCAAAGCGTGAGCGAACCTCCGACTCTAAGACAGGGCTCGAGTCTTATCTGGGTTAAATTTGTTGAGAGTCTCTAGCAACAGGTATACGCTACAATGAGCTGATTTGCTCACCGATAAGGTTTTGGGAGTAAGGTTAAAGAAGCATTTCCTGCTATCTGGCAAGGGGTCATGTTTCATTCAGCTTTTTCTCGCTCCTTGCCCCTGTTCTCTTAGCCAGTCTTTGGGAATAATTGATTGGTTTATCTATTTTGCAGGTCTTCATCACTGCCGGATCTTTGTCTCCTCTGAAAGGCACATTCTTTTCAAAAGGCAAGACCAGTTAAGATGTTATTGGTGTTGTGTTTAAACATGCTCTCTTGAGCTCTGTCTTCTTTTCAAGAACAACTTTTTACCCTGACCCTGCCACACCTACAGTCTGAGACAAAATGTGGAGGCAGAAACGTCCAATTTGGTAGAAAACTTTCATAGTAAGCTGCAGCACCTCCAGCCTCCCCTCCCCACCAACCCTTTCTTCCCCCCCACACACCAGTGTTGGTTATCACAGAATTGTGAACAGATGTAACTCGAAGATTGCTCTTTGAAGATTTCACGGGAATGGGTTGGGGAAGATCTGTGGAATGACGACATTTTCAAAATCTCGCGTTCACTTGAGTCAAAACAACTGTTCCACCCAGAGTAACAACTTACAAATATTTTTTCTTCATCTTTTGTACAAATTTTAGCGAACGCCAAATCATCAGCGGGGTTACTGGAGATGCCGGATATTCGTTCAGCCATGGAAGCGTTAACTCTTACTAACCACTTCACCATAAACCCACCAGGTAACAAACTTAACTCGCCCTTCAGTGCACCATGTGGACCCCCCTAAAACGATCTTCCGTTGGGTGGGGAGACTGTACTTTTAGTGGTAGATGTGAGGTTGTGGGACCCTTACCCTCCGCCCACCCCACGCGTGATGGGTTTGTATAGGATTTGTGTTTCGTGGTGTGACTTTCCGCTGTCGTCATCATGACAGACGGTCTTAGCATTGTGCACTGTATAATAAAAAGAGATTAGTAAAGTCAAGTCCTTGTCCCATCCAGGTTAGATGAGGTGATAAAACTCTTAGGTTATTTATTTATTTATTTTATTTTAATTTATTATTGGATGGAACTTTTTCCTCCTGGTAAAGGTTGCCTTAACCCACCATTTATAGTTTCGAAACAACTTTGTAGAGGTAAAACATATTTTCATTATAAGCCCCATGCACCAAATTGTTTTTAAGGAGGAGATTTTCCTTGGTTTGTTGTGTTTGAAGTTTTTGTGAAGGTAACGTCGAAAACTGTATGGTGTAAAAGAAAACTCGTTCAAACATTCTTTATTTTGTTGTTCTTAGGAGGCGGATCCTATACCCTGAAATTGGCCTTCTCCCCAAGCTCCTCAATATCTCCAACGGCTCCGACCGTTGCTCCTGCAGTTGCTGCGGCTGCAGTCGCCGTCAGCAATGGTGCCAATCCTTTGGGACCTATCGGCTCGCCGGTGCACCCTCGATGTATGGCGGGAAGCCCCATCAGCATTGTGACGAATGGTGTCAAGGAATTAAACGGTGACTCCGAGAGGAATGGGCTGAGTCCAGAGCATTTATCAGGTGCCAGTCCCTAGGGAGGGAGACTGGCACACAGCATCAACCAGCTGTGATAACGTACAGCGGTAATTTCCGATGCTTAAAAGGACTTCAAATGAAAACACAGATTCAACTTCGAATGAAGAGAAATCTCCCAGGTAAATGAATTATTAATCAATGGGAAGAGTTAAAAAAAAAAATACATTAGGTCGTTATAAGTCAACAAAAATGTTGTATTGTCGTTCGCCGACTGCTTTGTTTTCGCTCTCCCAGAACAGTTGGTGATGAGCATGCTTAGAAGTTGTAAAAGTTTGAATAAGAATGTTAGTTAAAGGCACCTTTTCATGCATTAGGTTTATGGTTCAAATTTGTAGTTATAGGTTTAACAATTTTCCCTCGTTACATTAAGAATTTATTGAATGCACTGAGGTGATGAAAGCCTTGGTAAAAACCAGCGTTTAATAACCCAAGGTTGAGCGGTTGAAATGCCAGCCCAAAATATATAAATATATTACATAAATATTTACAACATGAATATTAGAGTAATTTTTTCAAAACTCGTATGCGCAGTGAGTCTAAACTAAGATTCCTTTTGTCTACATATACAAAATTTTCCTACATCATAGATATATTAAATCTTAACTCGTGGAGAGAAGTCAAACTTCACAGGCTCCTGAGCAAATGATACCGTTAAAAAACAAGTTATCTATTACTTATGGTAACTTTTTTCCCCATCTAATTTACATTTTTCCACTGAATTTTATTGCAACCGTAATTGCTACCCAAAACTGTTGACACATTGCTGACAACTGTTCAAGGAAATGTTTTCCTTTTCGAGAGAATAAGTTGTGTTTTTGTTGTTGTTGTTTTTTTCATACTTTGACTCAGCATTTGGAGTATTGATTCATCTGCACGATCTACTTTTGTAGTTAAAATTTGTTCACCTTATCTCAAAAGCGGCAGCTTTCAGATAAATTTACCTTCTCCCTTGACATGTGCGTCAACAATTGTTATCAGGTTTTAAGGTAGCAAATGCGACGCGTTGTTTTGTAAAATGTGTATGCCTTACACCAAACACACAAGTGGTGTCTTATTTTACATTTGTTAGTAAGCTTAAAACACACCAAGTCGGTATTTATAATTTAAGATGTTTTCCACAGCGTACGCACCCCCTTGTTTAATACTTTTACTGTGTTATCAGTACGGAAATTCTCCTGACCTATTTGCATACATGTCTTCTTTAATTAGTGGGGAGAATTTATTTGAATACTAATACTGTTCTCGTTTGGTGATTATGGGCGTAATTCCTTTTACTTGATCCCAAAATTTTGAGCCTTTTTCTTCTTTTGAAGTAGCTTCAATTTGTAAATGGCTAGTGCAAATTAGGGTTAGGTTAGAATGTTTGGCTACTGCTTTTTTTTTGCCACACTCGAGAGATGTTTTTAATTGATATTTTTGTCTCTAGTGTTTTGATGTTCCAGTGAATATCAGATACTCCTTGGTACCGCTGATTTTTTTTTTGTTAGAGCTTTTTTCTTTGCAGTTCTGTGTATCAACTACCCTTGCAGGAAGCAACGGGGAACATGAGGTCGTTAAAGGAAAATATCAGAATTTTTATTCACATTCAATTTAACCTCGAATGACTTTTAAAGAAATTTTAGACTTATTGAAATTGCTTTTATATTTGCCTTATTTTTTCAAATAATTTGTACTTAGCGAAAAAAATATATTGTTATAACGTACAGTTATTTTTTTCCGGTCAGATTCTCATCAGTTGTGTTTCCTAGCAACGGCGGTTCGTCATAAACTGGAAAGAGCCACCTTAATGTCTTTAACGCTCGGAAAATTATGAAAATTCTCATCCGCGAAACAAAACTATAATTAATTTCCTAAGGAAAAAGAGGACATACATTTTTGTGTGGACCGACAGAAAAATAATTGTTCCAATTTAAAAAGAGAGAGAGAAAGATGTTAGGAAATATTTCAAATAATCGAATCCCACACATGTGTGAACAAACCACATAAAAAGAGTCAGATACAGAATTGTTAAGCTTACATTGAATTTTTGTTCTTTCGGACTTTTTGTACGGGGTCCTGAATGCATAATTTTTAATTGGAAATAATTTAATTACATGGTCTGAGTCAAAGAGGTTTTTAATATAATTCGTCGCACATGTTCAATCACTCATAGAGGTCAACTTTCAATAACGTTGTACATATTATAGGTTATAGAATTTAAGAAAAGAGAGAGGCAAATACAATATCTCCATTTAACACCACAAAGTAGAAGACAAATATTATGAACTTAAAATTACCAAAACATATTTTAGTGAAGTTTGGTATAACGAATTGTTATTTGATTCATTTATATGCGAACGCTAAGACAACCAAACCGCCCAGTCAAGCTCGTACCCAGACTCACTCTTCCGCGTTACCCTTAGGGCGTGTGTTTCAGGGAATGGGAGTTTCGGCCTGGTCACGTGTATCTAAGGAAATAAGAGGAAGAGACTGTCTGGGAACGAGACTGCCACCAAATAACTAAAAAGTCGCCAGCAACAACCATGACATCTGATTTTATTTAATTAATTTTCCAAAAACGAAAAAAGAAAAAAAAATACTGTTATAAGACGCAACGTTCATGTTGAAATGGCGATGCCACGATTTAGTTGAGTTTACCATGAATTGTTCGGAATTTCTGCACGCATTAAATTTTATTCCCTGTTGTCCACAAGTGTTATTTTAAGATTTTGACACCTTTTTCTTATTATATTTCTTATAAATGGATTTTCAATTTGTTGCGACTATAGATTTCATTACTAGCGAACGTTATTCAACCACGAGGGTTTTTTCTTTTGACAACTTTAAATGTAACGTTCTTGAAGATAGAAGCTTTTAAAGATACATCCACGGAAGTTTGATAAGTGTGAGTGCAATTGGAACGTGCCAGCCTGCACTTATCGTGTTCAGTAGACATCTTCGAAAAAGCCTCTGCGGCAGAAAGAGAGAGGGAGAGAGAGATTCGGAAAGCTCTCGTGTTGTGAGGGACAACATCTCAGGTCATCTTAGAGAACTTGTTGCAAACATTGGGTTTGAAAGAACTACTTTTATATTATTTTTGGTAATGTTTGTTTTGTTTTATTCTCTGTCTCCTTATTCATAATTGCTTTGCGTTGTAGTTTAGAGGATTTTTCATTATATTCAGAGGTCGTTGAAACAGTCGCTCCGTCCGTAACTTTCATCTTAGTATTAGATGACACTTTCATTTTAGTATTAGCTGACACTGGAAAATTTTTCCAGGGTCTGGTTTAAGTTGTTGTCCAAAACAAGTTGGTGGCTTGAAAAATGTTTGAAGTAAGGTTAACCTACGTTAAACTGCACACACACTCGTTTTTATGCAAAATTAAAAAGGCCTTGTGTTGGGTTAAAGAGCTTAATATTACAAGGCTGGTTTGTCTTATTCACTGCAGAATTTGTTGCATTCTAAAGAGTTAGTTACCTCGGTTCGGTGATCTAAGCACCGCTATACTGCAAATAGGAATAACATGGAAAAGTACCTCATATTAAAGCTGCATTAATTTTGATTTTGTGGTTGTTTTGTTTGTTGCTCTTTGCATCCATCTACTATTGGAGCGCTATGCTATGACCTCTTCTAACAGTTAAGTCTAATTCTTGTCATAGGAGATTGGAGCCGAGTCGAGTCATAACGCTATAATAGGTGCCCCCTCCCACTCCCTCTCCCCCGTTTTGGAGCTTCAAGTTGCTAGTAATCCCCCTATCCTTGACAAGTGTATGTAAAAGCTTTTTATTATGTGGGCTTTCCGATGAACGGAAACGGTATTGCTTGACGCAGGGCCACATTATGAAGAACTTCTGCTGTCATAGCATTGGTGTGTCGGGCTCTCGATCGAAAAACAATGAGAAGGAGAGGAAAGGAAAAATGATCAATTAGCGCTTTCCCAAACTTTCTTACACTCCGCTGCATCTCTGATGTTTAACCCCGACTGTGAGCAACTCAAGGGCGTTCAACCCCTCCCTATTTCCACTGCCTCTTTTTTTAAGTCCTACAAATAAATACGCCAGCCCCACCTCCGGGGTAGGTTTGCACAGCGTTAAATATGGACTGCCAAATGATTGGAGAAACCCTCACATTTTTATGTTATTATTTGACAACATTTTGGGCCTTAATAAATCTCTAGTCTCATCTAAACTACCATTATTCCGCTGTGGGGGAATTCCCAAGATCTTGCACATTAGTGGGTATATGCTGACCGATTCAAACGGTTTGCCTGTGAAATTGACTTTGAATGCGGGCCCGTGCGCAATAAAAGAAGTAGACATTGACTTGCATTTGCAACTAATACCGTGGTTAAGTTCTACCCAGTGCATGTCCTTTGAGATTTTTATAAGCCTGCCCTTTTTGGAACTCACAAGCCAGCCCTCTGATGGAATGAGCACAAGCGGTGAAATGCGTTGATTATTTCTGCAGTGTAAATCCATGGGAACGTCTTTCTTGTGATAAACGTGCAAATGTGGGACATTTTTTAGCCGCTCGTACACCTCCTCTGTCTTGCCAGCTTTCGGCGCAAGCATCATATTAAACCAGGAATCCCAAAACTCAAAGTTGTCTGGGTTGACGTACTTGTCGAGATCAATCACTTTGTCGCATGACGTGTTAGCCATGCCATGATCCGCTGTGACTATGATGTTAACTTTATCGAACAGATGATGTTTTTTTAAACCTTGCACGACCAAGCCGATGGTTTTATCCACTCGCTGTATAGCAAGAGGTAGATCTGGCCACCCTTTGTGATGACAAGTTTTGTCTGGTTCTTCAAAGTAAGCAGCCACAAAATTCGGCGGTTTTGGACCAGTCAACCAGCTAATTAGTTTCTCCACGCGTTTTTCAAAGCTCATTACCTTCCCTGTGCTGTTCGTGAAGTCAATATGTGGCGAGGCGGAATTAATTTTGTATTTAGGATACATTCCCTTTATTTTGACGCGTTCCCCTAGCCAGTAAAGCAATCCACTTCTTCCTTTGTGTCTCTGGTTCGTTACCCAAATGGGCTCTGCTGCATTCCACCATCGTGGATCTGTCTGAGATGCCCCAAACCACTCCTTAAGAACTGGATCGTACATGGTATTGCTGACTATTCCGTGACTTTCTGGGTATAAGCCGGTTACTATGCTATGATGCCCTGCATAAGTGACTGTCGGAAAAACAGATCTAACATAAGGCACTGTGACGCCTGTTTTTACCAGCATATCCAGGTTAGGAGTTTTCGCCTTGCTTGCAAAATCCCAGCGGAATCCGTCCAGTGAGATCAGAAGAAGGGTTTGAGGATCGCAACAGATTCCTTGAATCATGAAAAATAACCCAGAGAGGGTAAACCAAAGCATTGTTCACCGCTTAGAAAACTGTTAGCGGAAATCATATTAATTAACTGGTTGACCTTGCACGCTAATCAACCTGCCAACAGGTTTGCAGATACCATAAATTACCTGCAAAATTTAAAGCCCTCGACACTCTTGTTTATATTTCTTCTTGTTAACTATTTGGTCGATCTGATCATAAAAAAATGTCCCAAGAAATGATCGAAAACTACTCTTTTACTTTAATTTCTTTCGAAAATACCTTCAAATAGAGATAATTAAGGTTCAACGAGTCATGCAGTCAAGGTTGCACGCTTCGGCGGTTGCGTGACAGTTCTACAGACATGCTTCGGCGCTTCTTCAAACAGATGGAACAGCTATCATCATTAGAATCATTAACTAGAGTATCTGTGAAACTGTTAATGTTTCAGTCGTATTAACAGCTCACTTCATCTTGTTTTCGGCTTTCGGTTTGTCTGAGTGAAAAAGCCGTTTTTCGGTTTTTAATGTCTGATATCCTTGTTCCAAAGCCAAGTTGTTTCACTTTCATCAAGATCCTTATTTTCGACAGCGTTTTTTGGTTTCATTAAACATTTCCAGCTGGTTTTTCGGTTTTTTATAGGTCCCTTGTCTCATACATGATTGGTCGATGACATCTCAACATTAATATTGAAGTAGGGAGGTGTGGAGGGACAAAATAGTCTTCATCAGAGGCTGTGTGCGTCATGGAAAGGGTAAAGCGGGCCAACACTAATTTTTACAGCGAAAGGGCACGTTGTGCAACATCTCGAAGAATGGTTGCGAAGTATACTTTCAAAGACCAAGATCTGCTCGTTTGACAGAACTAATGGAGTAACAACAAACAATGGTGTGTTAAGAGTGTGAGACTGTTTAACTTCATCCGTCTTTACTGGAGATTGAGAATTATAAATCTTACTCAGCTTGAAGAAAATTCTAGTTTTACCCAAAGGTGCACCATAAATGACATGAACCCAGGGGTTTTTCAGGTAATCAAGCAATCTTTTCGAGTGCGCGACTTCCCCCAAAAAAATTTTTGCTGAGGAACTTAAAATCCCTGTCTTCTTCGCACGCGTTCATCAAGATCTCTGCCAGCAGAGAATCCAGTCCATAAAAAGTTGTGCCGTTACGTAAGTTTGAGGATTAACTCACATCTTCAAGAAGAGGGAAACAAAGTGTATTCGCCTTGAACAGGTTCAGAGTTCCATGGAGAGATGCTACTGCATTACAAAAGTAGCCCACCTCACTTTCAAACATTACCCTGCTTTAATGGGTGTGGTTTAACACAATTACTTGAGGACAAGTAAGGTTTGGTTTGCTGAACGAGACGTAATGAAAACATCGGCAGAATTTCGATTGACCTCCTTGAAAGTAAGCACTTCACATCAGACTGTTGTCTCAGCGCCGCATCAAAGAATTCTTCTTAACTATACAAACAAAGAAATACATGAAAATACGAGAACACGGTGGTCCAAACCAACTGGAAAAAACAACCAAATGATATGGCGTTAATGAACTGCCAACTTTTGTTAAGTTGCTTTAAAGCTACTTGACTCGGACATCAATGACATCCTCGTGTTCCATGTCCAATTGTTCCGGTGTTTCACCTCCTTTCAGATCCTCTCCATCGAAGAGGAACTTAATTCTTGAACGTGGAAGTTTTCTGTACTCACAGTACGCTGTCATTAGCTTCTCTAGCGGGTCAGTCTGAGATACGAATAAAAGCGTCCAACACAAAGGTCAGTTATAGGTTGTTACCACGCCCAGTTAGCCCTAAGACCGTCAAACTGCCTAACATCAAATTTCTCTTTACAATATCACCTCTGAATAACACATGAAGGTCATGAGAATAAAGGAAATGATGGACAATTAAAAAAGCTCTGATTGTTACATAATTTCTCATTGTCAGTATTTTAGGAAAAGTATGGAGAACAGTAGGGAGAAAATGCAGACTGATGTTGAGGTGTAAAAGAGTTAAGAAATAATGGTTTGGATTTCGTCACCTGCAAACTAACATTACAGAAAGTTAAAAAACATACGAGCTTCTGGGTTTTTAAAACAACAGTGCAAAGCTCCTACACTGAATGCTTCCTCTGTACACACCTTTAATATTTGGAAAGCTTTCTTTGAATCAGGTTCTATTCCTTGAACTTTTATCTCAATTGAATTTTTATCTTCTTCCTCACTGTCTGTCAATATTGGTTTATCAACAACTACACATTCTAGAGAGAGAAAAACTGATTTTCACACAAAGCTCTAAATCTCTTGTAAGTCACTGGTAATAGTAAAATGTGTAGGGGTGTTGGCTGGCTTTTCCATGAGGAGTTCCTATACTAGTGTTTTAGTTGCTGGCAATAGGAAAAATTCAGGTTTTTATGCTGTAAATTGTCACTTTTTCTTGCCAAATTGGGGTGGGGGGGGGAAGAGGGGGGGGAAGAAGGGGAGGGAGGGAGGGGGGAAGGGTTCTGCCAAATGTGCCTTGAGAACCAACCCTCCACATCAGCTATTCATGGCAGGCCTCTTCATCTGGCATGTTCAACAGGTAACTGAATGGACACAGTGCATTGCAACAGGTGTTGACATAAACTTACCAATGATGTCTGCTACACTGAGGTGAATGGAAATGGGTGTATCATAGCCTAAGATGTTGATATCTGCCAGACTTAGCATGATTTTATCTTCTGTTGCACCTTCCAGTTGAGCAAGCTGAGATATGATCTTACCAAATGGTTCTGCCTGTAAAAATTATAATTCATGATCAAAAGACATTTCTACATTAATATCAATGAAATTCTATTAAATCATTTTGAATACTACATTAGCCATAGTTATGAAAAGTGTTCAACTTAAAAGCTCTGAACACTGACTGTAAAATTGACAATAAAGCATTTGGTTGTGTGGTTAAAAGATGATTTAGTTTTATCAACTGACTTGATAATGTGAACTGGCCATTGTAAAGAGTTTCTAAAGCTGATGTTTTGATTGTTAGTCCTACTCAGAGGGAATCAAGGAATTGTTGGTTTTGTGTGGTTTACATGACTTTCATTCAAATAGTTTCTTTTTGTGTTTTTCATGTTACCATGTTCCTACCAGTACTACAGCTCCATCTTTTTGTATATAAATCACATACAACCCCAAATTCATTGACCCACTCTGACTAAGGGCTAACACTTTAAAGATCAGCATAAGACTCCCTTTATAGTGGCCACTTTACGCATCATTTCATAAAACCAAATTATCTTGTACTTCCCCAAAAATGCAGCATCACAGTTTCTTTAGAAACTTGGGGAGCCTTGTTGGAGCAAAGTATATAACACCACTTACAGCCTTCATAGTGAATCTTTTTATTCCTGATCTTGTTCTAACTTTAACAACAATATCCCGTTCTGATGGACTGGGAAAAGCATCACTGTCATTTTCACAAATCACACTGTTTGACAGGTGACTGTCAGGGGAGGCCCAGCTAGTATTGGTTGATCTTTTGAGTGAGTCTAAAACATTGTCTAGTTCCCTGAAAAAATAATTTTAGAAAAGGAAAAAAACAAATACAGAGTCAGAAAATTTTCTCTACTATTTATGTATAAAGAATTACTCAAAAAGATATTACCAACCAGAAGCTGTGTTCTTTTAACTTACAAAGATCTTTATAAATTCTCCGAACAATTTAATCAACCCATGAAACTTTCTTGCTTACCTAAGCTTCTTATTTTGACGCAAGTTTATCCTCATTTTTGTAGCCTCACAAAGTTCTGGAGACCATGCAGGGGGTGGTGTTGGTGACCTTGTAAGATGTGTTTCCTTGACATCATTTTCTGAGCTGTTTATTTCTTCAACAGACTTGTCCTTTATAGCCCTAAACAATAGCACAAAGTTCTCCGGAGTCAACTTACTAAATCATGTCTGTGACATAAATTCAAGACTCTCTTTCTGACTGATGTCGTCTGAATCTGTTTCTTAAGTATTGTAAGATACCCCTTATAGGTTCCAGGCTTACGGTTGTCCTTCTTTCCTTGTGCTTCAATTTCAATTGTCTCAAATTGGATTAGGATTTTCTGTTTACAATAAGAATCGCATATATGCCTTTCATATGACCTTGGATATGCTTAGCGTAAAAATGGGCCCTTTTGGACAGGCCATCTCTCGCACAGAACATCAGAGGAAGTACCCCCCTCCCCTTCGACCTTCACTATTACAATCATTTACAACTTACCAGTTATCTTCGTCGCTGTCACTGTCCTTTACTTCAGAAGACTCGTTTTCGGCGTATTGTGCTGAGTGCACTCTCTGAAAAGCTTCGTCATCATCCGACTCGGAGCTGTCAGAGTCTGGCAATTTCATTTGTTTTGCTTTAAATGACAATGCCATTTTCCCTCTGTAGGAAAAAATATCATCACGACTTTGTCGTTTCCTCAATACTTTTCGTGGACGGCTAACGGCCGACTTTGAGTTCTGATCTTCATTTCCAGACATTTTAGATCAAGAGAAACAAAAAATTTTTGTAGTTATTTTTAAGACAGTACTGCTGAGGATCGCAACTCAAAATCCGCGCCGATCTTTCCACACCTGTAGCTTTTCCGTTACTACTGTTGCTATTTTTCACTTTGAACTTGGTGACCAGGCAACCATCAGTGACCACGCAATTGCAACTTTCTTTCATCAAGCGACCAAAGGCCGAGCACTGTTCACTTCGTAATCAGGCTTTCAATTGTTTTTGTTTGCGTGGAGCTGGATTTGAGGCTTAATTTGTTGTCTAATTACTGGTAAGTAACTGGAGCTCACCATTCTAGCCGTGATTTCATTTAGAACCACAAATCGAATATTCAGTGAACATTATTCGTAACGTAAGCTTAAAATAAGTGTACATTCAACTTTGTTCAGGTGTTTGTTAAGGGAATCTTAATTAACACCTTCATGTAAAATATGTTTCTTGTAAAGAGATGAAATATTCTTAATTTTGTTGTGTTATTTATTGAAATGAAAGGGGAAAATAGAAAATTTTTTAGGGTTCGAACATCAAAGTTCATCAGATCAAGGATTGTGGGAGGAGCTGTGAAATGATGTTTTCAAAAACCATATCCCTTCAGCAGTAAGATTTTCCTTAGATACGATTCCAGGCCAAAACGTTAAAGAAAATTCAAGGTGTACGTCTAAATTTCTTTTTTTTCCTTTTTATTCTCAGGAGAACAATCTAGTCGATTTTTATTGGCCATGGTAAGCTGTCTCGGGGTAATTCGTTTCCTGGCCTGTGTTGCTGGTATAGCTTTGTCAGTTTATGCTCTCCATGTGGAGATATCAAAGGAACACAATAAAGAATACAAAGCTCTCTGTGACATCAATGAACACATGAGCTGCTCAAAAGTATTTTCGTCAAAGTATGTGACTTTTCTCGTGTCAATTTTTGACAATTTTTTTTTTCTGTATGAAACTCGTATTTGACAAGTACAATGTGCATGACTATATTACTAGAACATTGTGTAGTATTATTCATTATGGAATCTTCTTTTGGATGCAAATTCTTTCCTCCAGGTATGGAACTGGTTTTGGCCTAGTGGAGCCACTCATGGGGAAAGATTCACCTCTCAATGTTCCTAACAGTATTTTTGGGATTATTTTCTACCTTTTGATGTTTCTCCTTGGTAAGGATAGTCATTACTTAACCCTTTAAGTCCTAAGGGTGACTAAAATCTAACTTCTTCTCACAATATCACCCCTGAGTCAAACATTAACATCAAAAATACTGGAAATGATTACAACTGAAGAAGCTCTTGATTGTTAAATAAATCAGGAAATGTGTAGAGAATATGCATAACAATCTAATGGTGAAAAGGGTAAATTCAATATTACTGCCAATTAATTTCAACACTTTTTTCCATCAGTGTACTCTCTAGAAAAAGTATAGACTGATTATAAATCTGTGCTCAAAAATTGGGCCAATAGAAAATTAAAGTGGGTTGATAGATTTAAAGACTCTAATTGCTATACCAATCTACCAATATGTAGAAGAAGAAGAAATTATATCTGAAAAGGAAGATGTCAATTAACCTACTTTTAGTGGATTACTTTATAAAAGCTTTATAAGCTTCTTTGATAAGTTCTCTGAAGTGCTGGTAAAAAAAATAGTTTCGGAGTGGTGATTTTCATAACATTTATAATTTCAGTACTAGTGTAATATGCAGTAATACATGAAGTTCATTCTCTGAAATTGATAATTTTTCATATTTACATCACTTTTTTCAACATTACTAGGAGAAAATTTACCTTGATTAGTCCTAGTACTGAGAGGGTATATTTTTTGAATTTTTGCCTCAGGTCTGTCCTCCAACAAGTTTGCAGCCTGGCTGATGTTCCTATTTTCACTAATGTCTTGTGCAGGATCGATATATCTAGGCTACATTCTCTTCTACATCTTACATGACACATGTGTTGTGTGTATTTCAACATATGTGGTGAATGCAATCCTGTTGGTCATTAGCCTGATTACAGTAAGGTCTGCAGGGGAAAAAGGAGATAGAAAAAAGAAAAAAGAATAAGTAGTATTAACCCTTTGACTCCCATGAGTGACCAAGAGGGAATTTCTCCTTACAGTGTCAATTCAATATAAAGCAGACAAGTGATGAGAGTAAAGAAGAATGGCGATTAGGAGATTTTTGGTTGATCCAATACCAAATTCTCCAAACTAATATCATAAGAATTGTATGGCAGATAGTAAGGAAAGTAATTGATGAGATTTTGGGAGTGAAAGGGTTAACAATTATTTTTTTTAACATAGAGGAATTTTGTGAAATGATACTTGCCCTTCAAGAGATGATGTGTGTGATCCATTGCAATATTGATACCAAATAAAAAAAAATTAAAATTTCAGCACTGTGTTTTAGCATTTTAATGATGAGAATATTGTTGTGGTCATCCAGATGAAGCCTCCTTTAACTTTGTGGGGTAACAACCTATCAACTGGTCTTCTTGTTTAATGCTTTTATTTCGCATCTCAGACTGACCCGTTAGAGAAGCTCAAGACAGCAAACTGTGAATACAGAAAACTTCAATGTTTACGAGTTAACTTTCTCTTATTTGTCCCCCTTGCTTCTCTGAAATTAACCTTCTGGCTTCTCCCTGAACTGAATGAAACCTATTCAACAAATTGACACTAAAGATTATTTTGAGTTAAATGGAAAATGTTGTCTTTGTTACCTATAACATGCATTCATGCCTTTCAATTGTTACAAGCTTTTTCTTATGCATTGAAAATCACTACTGCCTATTATCCTGGGTGCAAGAGTGATTGCAATAAGCACATTCCAAGTATTTATTACTCTAATTATTGATAACAATTATGGCATAAGCAATTTAATTGTAAGGGAAAGTATGTGATTACTTCACTTGATATCTTTTTCCGGCTTTTTTCAGATGTAAGTGGAACGAAGAGGTTTTACGGGGTTTTCCCATAGAGTTGTTAGTTTTCCGGTCGGAGTTTGATTGGTAGCTGGCTACGTAATTTGTTACTATATTTAGCGTCATCCGCCTTCGATATAAATGACGAAACGTAGCTTGGTAACCGCTCATTATTCCGGTCACTCCGACAAGTACCTTATATCTCAAACATGTTCAACGATGCCTTAGTTTTGCGGAGTTCAGCAAAAGAATGGCCACTGGAACGCGCACCTACAAGATAAAAGACAAAAATTTCGAGGTTAAGTTCGAGCTTGATACTCGCTACAAGCTGTTGGAGAATATAGGCAATGGAGCCTATGGTGTTGTGTGTTCCGCCGTTGACACCAAGAATGGCAGTAAAGTTGCAATCAAGAAAATTCCCCGAGCATTCGACGTGGTGACTACAGCCAAACGAACTTATCGAGAGCTCAAGATCTTGAAGCATTTTAAGCATGACAACATAATCTCCATTAAGAATATTCTTAAACCTCCTGAAGATCTGGAGCAGTTTGACGATGTTTACGTAGTTCTAGATTTGATGGAAACTGATTTACACCATATAATTCATTCTCAGCAACAGCTGACCGACGAACACGTTCGCTATTTTCTGTATCAGATTCTTCGTGGATTGAAGTACATTCACTCTGCAAAAGTCCTGCATCGAGATCTGAAACCTAGCAATTTGCTGGTCAACCAGGATTGTGAGTTGAAGATTGGAGACTTTGGAATGGCCCGTGGTCTATCTTCCTCTCCTTCAGAACAGAAGAGGGTAATGACAGAGTATGTAGCCACCAGATGGTACAGGGCTCCTGAACTGATGCTGTCGCTAAGTGAATACTCGGAAGCAATCGATATGTGGTCTGTGGGTTGTATTTTCGCAGAAATGCTCGGAAGGAAACATTTATTTCCAGGGACGAACTATCTCAACCAGTTGCAGGTAATTAGCACTTTCGGATTTCCTTACAAGGTTTTGTTTTCTGATTTATATTTACCAAATGCAGGAAGTGACTGTGTGGAAAGAGAAATTAAAAGATAGAGATTTAAAGAATTTTTACCATTTAGAAACAGAAGAGAAAGCCGTCAATGCAGTTATTGCAGGAACTAACATTTGTCTCAAGGGTGGGGAGGGTGAGAGGTACGACCTACTTCATTGCAATTTCTTTGATGTCAGAGGAGGGAAAGGGTTTACCCTTAGCAGGATGGACAGTTATCAGGAGAAAAAGGCAGCAAATAGTGCAAACAAGTAAAAGCAAGCAAACTTGCACAATCTTTCCATCCTTTTCTTCATTCACAGGAAGCAAAGGTGACACTTGACAAGTAATTTATCGAGTGTTTTTTTGTTATAGCATAATTGAACAGCTAAATTTTATGTTTTAGATTCAACAGGTAAAATATCCCTTGATATTACTGCTTATCATAATTGTTCTCTTAAATTACCTGTATTTCAGCTTATCCTTAGTGTTGTTGGCACTCCATCAGAGAGTTTCATTGAGCGAATGGGGGCAGAACGAGTGAAGACTTATCTTCAGCGACTTCCAAAGAAACAACCAGTCCCACTGGAAAAGCTTTACCCCGAAGACAAATGCCATCCTGAAGCACTGAATTTGCTGGGGAAAATGTTAAAACTTGACCCAAATGAGAGAATATCAGTTGGTGATGCACTGGCTCACAAGTATTTGAAAGAATACCACTGCATTGACGATGAACCAGTGTGCTTTCCACCATTTGAATTTGACTTTGAGGACATTCCTTTTACTAAAGATGATCTTAAAGCAAGGATACTGAAAGAAATTGAACAGTTTCACAAAGAAAAGTCATTGATTTTGTCTCCCGTTTCAAGCCTTCCAAAAGAATTACAGTCAAGTCAAGTTTCCTCAACACAATTAAGAAATGAAAATGGTCATGGTGCACTTAAGAAAGGTAACCTTTTGCTGTTAAGATACAAATATTTATTTTCCTGGATGCTTTTTAACCCTTTATACCCTAACATCAGTACACATTCTCTATACAGTTCTCTTTACATTTCCTAAGGTGCTGATAAGGAGAATTTGTTTAACAATCAAGAGCCTCTGTAGTTGGGGATCATTTCCTTTATTCTTGTCACCTCAATATATGATTCAGGGGTGATATTGTGAGGAGAAATTAGATGCTATGCTTTCTTAGGGATTAAAGAGTTAATAACTAAAGTAACTGTCATATCCATGGGAAAATTAAAGATGGCAAACAAGCATTCTTCCCTTGTTTCTTTCTTCACCCTCTAAAAACCTGGCTTTTTCGGTGGTTGTCCTAAGCACCCCTTGGTTCATGTTTTGATGTCCACAGTGAACCTTCAATGCAGGAGGACTGATTACTATTGATAGCAATTTGCCCTTCTTGCTTCCCTGTATTATCTTTTCAGTTCCTCTTTTTCTTCTTTTATCAGTCTTAAGCTCTCAGTAGGTTCACTTAGCTGTAGTCACCATGTCAAGTGCTCAGGGAATTTTCTTGATTGCAACTTTGCTGCCATTCTTGGTATCATGTCAAGTAAATTTTCACCTGATTACTTGGTCTTTTCTCATTGCTTGGTGGTTGGATAATGAATAATTGTGGATTGGATAATTATAGTTTCATTTAAGTTGCTTGTAGTAGTTTGCTGGATAACATATCTTTTGTCTTGGTTCTTGGTTTCAGGGAATGGCCCAGTTTCCTCTTTGACTCTGGTGGATGTTAAACAGAAGATGGAGCAAAATTTGAAGAGGAAAAAAGAGAAAGAAGAGAATAAAAAGAAGAAGGCCAAAGCAGCTAGAAGGCAATCTGAAAACAAAGAAATCAAGTCAGATGACTCCACTGGGCTCAGTGACAAAGATAAAGAAATGTTAGCTAGATGGGAAAACATGAGAAAACAAACCAAACCATTTATACACCCAATTAGAAAATACATGCAGGACCTCAAGGAATTAAAAGATGAGGTTGCAGGTGGAGATCTTCAACCAGGTACTACAGTTGCCTCACAACCAGTTGTACCCCCTGGGAGTCATGCGCAACAGCAGTTTCAGTTCACGCAGTTTGTACCTCAGAACCAAAATGGCTGTGTGACAGGATTGAAAGCTGTTAAGGTCCCAAATCAAGGGTCAAATGTGATGCAAACTCTACCAGGAAGTAGAATGGCTGCACCAGGGGGTAAGTCTAACCTCGTACATTTATTTTTTTATCAATTGTTTGTCATAGGATGGAGAAGTGGCAGTTGTGGTTTGTGCTCTTGTTTTGGGATTGCACAGTCTGGGTGGAAGCCTTGGTTAAGTCACTGTGTTGTGTTCTTGGGCAGAATACTTGTCTCTCTCTACTTTTTAGTAGAAATGGGTATCAGAAAACTGTCATAGAAACCTGAAAAAAACTGTGGTAACCCTGTAATGGACTGGCATCCTGTCCTAATTTTATAAGAGATAGTCAGTGTCATCTGATGGTTAATTACATTTTTAATATATGTAGTTCATATCTGTTGTTGCAGGAAAGATTGTTCTTCTTGCCCCCTGTGAAGTGGCTTCTCTACCACAGTCCATGCTAATAAACGTTCCTGTTCCAATGGCAACTAAACAATTGTATCCTGCTTCTCAGAAATTAACAACCTACGGTCCGTCTAAACAAGTTTCTCTTACAAGCATAAGCAGTCAAGAAAGTGTGGCTAGTGTGCAGAATAACAGCACAACAAATTCTGTTAGCATGCCACTTCCGGCTAAATCTGTTCTCACTTGTGCAAGCAGTACAGGTACTGGAAAAGCTGTCGGTAACAATGCAAGCAATCAAACAAATAGTACTTCTGTTTCATCTGCAGTAGAAATATCAAGTGCAGTGACTGGTGTCTTCACACAACTGCCAACAACTGCTGTGTCATCAACCTCACTGTTGACAAGTTTGTCATCTTCTGTTCCAGTTCTTTTGCAACAGTCATCAAGGAGCTCTCAAACATTTTTGACTCCCACTGTAGTTGGTCAGCCAGGATTACCTTTAGGGGCCAAAGTTATTAACCAAGAGGAAATTGTGTCAACAACTGGAAACAAACCTGACTACAATGCGATGAGTACTCCCTCAAGGAACATTCCTGTGATTCTAAACAACTTGGTAAATGCAGCAACTGTTGGTCAGGAACAACTACCAATAATTTCACAAACCTCAGCGATAACTGAATCACATGTCAAAGTTTCTGCTGACAAAAGTAATTCCTTGTCAAAAGCCTCATCTCAATTCATATCCACTGTAAATGACTACTCTTTACAAATACCTCTATCTCTGTCAACTCAAGCTACACACACAGGGAGTAGCACTGCTCTTTCAACTGTAAGCAATATCTCTTGGAATAATGTTGTGCAAACTTGTACAGGTCAAGCAGTTCAAGCTTCTGCTATAACACAGACCACAAGTGCTTTCCCATCAAATTCAACTTTCTCACAATATGGTTCATCATTTTCCTTGAGTGATTCAGCTGTATCAAATGCAGCACCTTTAGAAACTGAGTTAAATGTGTGCGGCATGCCAGCACCTTCTCTTATGAGTCCAAGAAGCCTTCAAGCCATGTTACAAACCATGCTGAGTACCACAGATGCCCAGCTTCTTTGGAGTTCAATGCTTAACTCTTCAGTAATTCCACCCCCCATCTTTAAACAAGCTGATACTGCAAACAGTACAGCAACGATGACCTCCACAGCAGCAGAACCCTTCCCAAAGATATCACCTCTTGAAAAAGGATCAGAACAGTTCATATCACAGCAGAGTGAGTTCAATACACAGGGAACTGAAGCATCACAAGAGGACAATGAGCTTATCCCCGAGAGCATCCAAGATGCGTTTAGCGACCTCAATGTTCATGGGATCACTGAGCAAGAAAGGTTATCAGAGGAGGTAATCTTTTCCAGTATGCTGTCTTCTAAAGCAAATGCAACTGGAAGTGGCTATGGTTTAGGAATTGATTTTGAGGAACTTCTTGATCAAGCTGGAATTGTTCAGGATCCGGTACTCAACAATTTGTAAGTATCATCTCCACATTCCACTGTACAAATGATGTGTACTTCACTTCAGATGAACGTTGTGAGCCTGTTATTTAAATGAGGTGATTAACCCAAACCATGGTTTAATGCAATTAGTGGGCCTCTCTGGCTCTCTATAAGAAGGTTCATTTTATCAAATACATGTCCTTCAACTGTTGGCTTTTTTCCCTCTTGACACTGATCACCAAAATAAATGTTTTCTTATATCTGTTCCAAAAATTCTCCTGGAAGCCCTCCTTCAAGGGAGACAAACTTTGGACTTAACTTGTTGTTATGTTTACTAAAGAGGCACATTTTCTAGTCCTGAGGGTGTACCCTGAGTGAAGGTACCATTTTCTTAATTGCAGAATCATTATCAAGAGATTTTTCATCTTCTCTTTGTAGATCCAGCCCTTATAAAGATTCCTGCTTGACGCTTCCAGGTAGCTTACCTAACAGTCCTTCACTATCTGCTTCTCTGCTCTCTGACTGGTTGGATGGCAAGGATATGCTTCCTGTTGATATGGATGAGATTCAAAAAGAGCTGGAATCAAACTCAGTGCTTGCACTGTTCCAAGAAATGGATGATTCTTGATGTCTCTAGATATGTATCGTTGTAATAAATTAAATAATGATAATAATAATAATGATAATAAACTTTATTCAAGTGTCGTGTAACTTTAGCATGGTGTTGCTAAATAAATGTAATATTGTGTAAATAATTGTCAACCATGTGGAAAACATCACAATTATGCTCAGTTGTCATTAATTTAAAACTTATTGGTGATTAGCTGAACAGTTGACATGTGTTTACGGATTCATGTACTGTTATCATGGATTGTTGTTTTGGTCCTCACTGTTTTCAAAACACTGTGTCTGTTTGAATGAGAGTCACCTCCTCTAAGTTATGCTCAATCATGCTCAATTATTATTAATTGCAGGATTGGCATCCTCATTTCTCAGATATCCGTTAATTTCCAAACTGTCTTTGCACTATTTTATTGATTTAAAGTAAGTTTTTAGTATATGAAGAAGTTAGAGATACAGTGTCTATGGGGATAAATAATTTTTTCTGCTCTTACTTGCTTCATTGGTGAAAAGGAAAAGTGATGTGTTTCACTTAACTTGATCACTGTAATTCTTGATCGTGATATACATTTATAGATATATCAAGGCATTGTGGGAATTACCCTGAGGGTAAGGAAGGGGGTAATGCATTAGTGTTTTACTGGCATCATATTATTGACAAAGAGGGGGGTCACATGCAACCTTGAACTACTCCTCCTCCTCTTAGATGCCTTTTGAATACCAGATTGAGGCCTATTAAAGTCAGAAGTTGAACTTTACTTTAATTTGTGGATTGTAATATAAATGGGTTACAACAAAGGATTTTTCAAACTTGCAATTAAATTTTTTCATCTTGTTAAGACTGAAGTTTGATCTGGGATCAAGGTTCACTCATTTTAGCAAGAATTTAAAAAATTAGACTATTTTTAACAAATAACACTTTTTATTATAAATATGTCTGACTAAACAATTTGTACAAGTTACAGCTACAAGAGAAAGGACAATAAATCTCATTTCCCAGGAGCAGTGTTTTCTTTCTTTTTCTTCTTTGGTCTTGCTAGAGGAAGTGCTGGAAGTTTGAATCTTGTCCTGCAGAAGAAATGAGTACAAGAGATAGTAAATGTAAACAAACATAAATCTGGAAGAAATTTCTTAGGAGGCCTAACCTCTGATAGTGGAGCTCCTGTGGAGCCTCAACACCTTAGAGTATTGCAAGAAGTGAAAATTGGCTCTCTGCCTGACATTCGCAAAAATTGTACTGTGCTGTGATAACGACTCGACAGTGGTGGTTTCAACTGTGTTTTTCAAGTGAACATTATCAAACCGAAAAAGATTATTTGCAGCCAATCAAAAGTTGGTCTTAGCTTTGCTTTCTGATTTCCCTTCATTACTGAACCACTTACAGAGTACATTAAATCAAAACCATTGCAATCCTTGTTAAAGTTTTTCTCATTTTTTAATACCTTGTTTAGTACTGGTATATTTGTTTACAACTTTATTCACAAGGCACTTTGATCAAGAATTCAGGTAAACTTACTGGCAAGTGAGACAGACAGGAATGAACTGGCAATAAACTGCAACGCAAGTCAAATGAAAAAAAATCTAAGAAGCTATCCTACATCTGTAACAATAAAATTACAATAACTAGTTCCTATGTATGTTGGCTGCTACATACAGTCACCTTTGCAGTGGTTCCTTTGAATGTCACATTGAGCTCACAAAAGTGATGCCAGACATTACAAAGAACAACTGAAAAGAAGACTGATAGCTGTACTCTTTGATGTGTCTTGATTTTTCCTGCAATCTGAAGGTAAATCTCTACTTAAAAAGGACAAATTTCCAATGAATGCTCAGATTAGTCAAAAAACTAATGATATTACAAGCCAGTAAACTTGTAGAAACTGGAATATCAAATAGCTAGATGAAAGTTGTAACATCTCTATTTATGGGTTTACTGGCACAATTACATCCTTTGTGTTTTAGGAGACCCCACTAGTATCTTAGTTCGATTGATCATTTCCCAAAATCCTGCATGGGTTTTTCTCCGACCAAACCCATGGGAAATGATACCATTTTCAGAGACCTTCTAAAGACTGATTCATAAATGTAGTCTTTGAAAGATGAATATGAGTTTTTACTTAGTCTTACTTGATAAACACACTGAACAAACAAATCCAATATCAACAAGTCTTCTGTGGCAGAAACAAGCAGCTCTGTAGTCAATGTGCATTGATGAAGGAAGGATTAATTGATCACGGACTGTTGGCTCTGGAAGGAACACCCACTGAAATGAAAAAAAAGATGTGTGTAAAACTAACTTAGATGAAAGATGGAGTATTTCTGTGAAACAAGATATTTCAAGAGAGAAACTAACAGATTTTCATTATGAAAATCAGTTGGTGATGGTATCAAGGGTAAGTCATTGACAAACTCCTGTGAGTTGCTTAGAGTTGTCAGCAAGCTTCTCTGAGTTGTTGGTAGACTCCTCTGAGATGTCCCCACCCTACTATGGATTGTCCTTAGACTTGTGAGAGTTGTAAGGGAACTCTTAGGAATTGTTTGTGGACAGCCTCAAGTTGTTCCTGAACTCCTTCTCATTATCAATGAACTCTTAAGAGTTGTTGGGAACACCTCTGAGTTAAAGGTTGTCTACTAATCTCTCCTGTTGGGGAGCTGCAGCTGCTCTGATTTCATACCAGAGCACTGATCTCTTTTTTTCTCCCTTTAACCTAAATATTCCTAATTTTCCACCTGAAAATGTGTCTATGTCATCAGTGCACTTATAAATAGATTTCAATCACACACGCACCAGGAGGTATTGAAGCAATGCAAGAGTCTGTGGCACTTTTAGGTACATTCCACCAGTAATGTCAGCAGCCTACAAAGACAAAATAACCACAGTGACTACTTCAATCAATAACAATAATATTACTAGCTCAAAAAAAAACTCATCTATTAGTTTATTTTCAGTGCTGCACTGCACACCTGCTGCAAGAATCCTGAGTGCTCATCCACTACACAAGCATCAATCACTGTATTCTGGAAAAATCAGTAAACAATTACAAACAAACGAAAAAGAAGGTTGAAAATATGCATCAAATACTTAGAAATCGCACTTAGATATTTTTAAAAAATCTCAAAACAGATCACTTGATCAAAGAAAGATAAATTTCAATGAACCTATGAAAGAATACAATTTTTCACTCACACTTTTTTGAGCAGCAAATATGCAGTTCATTATTGGCATATATTGTGTAGAGACATCGGGTGCAGCTTTGAGAACCTACAGGAGATGAAAGATTAGAGTGATGGTTAAACTTTAACTTGCACAATCTGATTCATAATTTTCCTTTCTCCCTGTTATGCCTTTTTCTTGGTGTGGGGCCAAATCAAGATAACTCTTGTTATAAAATGTATTGATATTACTGGCAGATTGAAGTTACATTAATTTTTTCTCACTTATGGGAGTAACAGTGTAAAAGATTTCGGAAACTTGAAAACAGAAAAATGCAGATTTGGTGCAGAAGGCACAACTGCATTTAACAAAACATATTTTAACCTAAATTATTCATTTTTCAGATTATTGCCTTGTTGTGCTTACCATAATCCGAGACTTGATCTTCTGTCCAACTAATTAGAAAGAAAGATTTGTTTAAAAAACAATTTGCATCAAACAGCTAAACATAATGAACTAAAAACTAACTATTACTTGGGCCACAGCAGGCTTTAGTTTGAGATAGAGGGGGTCTAAAATATACCCAGCAGTTTATTAAGTAGCTGTGGTGTTTCCAAACAGGTGTATTTATTGGGAAAAGGGCTTAGTAAAAGTATACATAAAAGATAAGAGTTCATTTAGCTCTCAATTGCGTATAGGTACATTTTTTAACTACGAAGCCATAGGAGAATATTATAGGCCCTCTGGTTTGTATCCCCTACCAAAGTTGGTCACAAGAAAACAAAAATTGTTACCTGGGCATTCTTTTTCAGCTCTGTGGATATCTAATTTCTGTTAAGTTTTATATATAATTTTATCTCTTCTGAAACACTTTAAGGCCAGTAAAATTGGGGCACATGTTATTCACACCACTTCAAAGGTTGTTGTGCTATTACACTTTTCATTGAAAATTAGTTAGGGTTTGGAGAATTCCTTTTGGGTGTTATGTTAAGTTCTCACCAGCTGATAAGCTCATCCCTTCACATAAGTTGTTGGCAAATAAACAAAGTAAATGTGTTCATAATGAGGATAAATAATATATCTGACCACTTCTTGGAGTTAAAGGGTTAATCCTCTTTAAAATAAGGATACAACACAAGGCCATTGTTAAGGCACTGGCAAGAAGTGTTGGAGGCAATTCAGTGGTTTGGTTATCTGTTGGTCAACAAAAGCAGATCTCTCTAAGACTGCTAATTTAAACATTCATGATTACTTTTGATTTACATTGTTAAACAAAAATATAGGGAGTAGAAAAGGTATAAGTGTATCAGGTATTTTAAGGGTTGAAAACCTTATCCATAATAATCAGATCAAGAGAACACAATTACATGTTCTTGTTGAAAATGATTTCAGGTTATAACAAGTTTAGACTAATTTGATTGGATTTAATCATTCTGACCTAAACAGATAACTTTTATCAACATACTGGGTTTTGTACCTGTTAAATCTTCTGTAGACAACAGACTCTTCATTTCTGTAATGATGGCATCATTTACTTCAGCGAAGCCTTCATATTTCCCATCTGTTGGAAGCTCTTTTTGATCATTATTACTGATTTCCTCACCAGAGTCATCTTTCGGAAACACAAACTTACTATGTGGGATACAAAATTATTGCAATTATTAAATATCCTTGGCATTAGGGATCTTTAGCAAGTCTTTGACAATCTTCAAAGATCCTTAAAGATCCTTTGAGGTTTTCCTCCAGAGATGATCCCCAAGCTCAAAACATGGAAGTTGGCAGGTATACTGCTACTACTCATGTACCTGAAAATTACACCATCAGCTATTTGAGTATGAAATTGACTTGTGCCTGCTCATACCTTGTACTAGTGTGTGAAATGATAAAAGAAAGGCAGTTGTTGTGCTGCATCATCAAATGTGCATTACAAAACACCATGAGGCTGTCCACACAGTGTGTCAAACTGATCTGAAATGCAAAATAAAAATCTGAAATTTAAAATGAGACCTGGTTCATTAAAAAAAGTTTGACTGTCTCTTTTTAAAACTCAATAGGCCATCAATTCTCTGGAACTTGCCAAATGCTCATGTAAAGTAATCTTAATCCCATGACTCTCTTGACGAATCAAGGTTAGCATATATGTCAATTCTCCCTACAATTTCAATACAAAGTAAAGCAGACGAGTTGTGAGAATTAACTAAACATAAAATAGAAGATTTTGTTTCGATATATCATCAATTTTCCAGACCAGCTCAGAAAGAGAAAACTCGCTCCAAGATCTTTAAATGGAGTGAAAGGGCTACAATAGACTATCTTAAAACTACAGCGTCGAAGATTGTAATAAAAACACAAGTTTCCTCTCAGATATTTGATAGAGTAGTTTCTCTACGCTTATAAGTTTCCTTTAAGTTAGTTGGTAGAAATCAAATTTAAGCTAACCCGCTGTTGATCTTCGTTACCAGCTCTTCCCCACCACACTGGATTGGCGTCAAGAATAACCACCAGTAGATTTGAAATATTTTCTGAAAAAAAATTTCCCCTCATTAGTTTCTTAATCGTGATATTTAGATACAAATTTGGCATATACATTGAGGTGTCTCACCGTCCGCCATATTGAAATTTTGATTGATCCTCATGTAAAAAGTCACGCTTTCTCTCTCGTGATCGACATTTTGCGTGACCAGTGCGTCACCCTAGGAGCATTAAAGCGAGGCAAATTCAAAGATCAGCAAAAGCTTAGCTACCATGATGATCACCGCTTTCTTTTTCGGGATCGAAATGAATGAAACATGACAAATACGGTTACAACTGACTCTGATGCTTGGTCTTCTGTCACTGAACAAAGTATTTTTCTTGACGATGGCCTTAAATTTCTTGTGGAGGTTCTCCAACCGCCTGCAATCTCCACAGAGCACTCCACATTCGTGGAGCGCATTTCGGAGCACAAGTTTGAAACTTCTTCAAACGCGGAACTTCGCAAACGCCTTCTGAAAACATGTGCTCTACAACACAGCTCATACTACAAGCTTTTTGATTATCGTCAGCGTGCTTTGCTTGGCCTCTGGCAGTCACAGAAATCCAAGATAATACCATTATCGTCGAAAAATTCTTGCCCTCCTGCTGTTGATTCCAAAGAGGGAAAACCGAAAGTTCCTTTTCAGGATGATTCTTTTTCGTCCCATGTTAGCCTTCTTCTTCTAGTTCCTATTTTAGAATCTCAAAGCCGAACAGATCCTTCTTTAGCTGGACAGTGTTCAGAATTGTTACTTCAGTGTCTTCAAAATTGCGCTCCAAACTCTCTCGCAGCTGAGCCTACAAGCTGCATCAAAGGTTTGGCTAATTTGTTGTGCAATTGGCTCCAGCAAGCCAACGATGAAGAAAATATCAGTAGACAGGAGGAACTGGCTCGGTGTGGAGTAAAGCGAGAGAGTCTAGTGGCGGCTCTTGTCTCTTTAGCTTGCGCGAGGTAACACGTACATGTAATATGAAGTGGCAATTGTCTGTTGAGATATTCTTAATTAATGTTGTTTATTATTATCGGTGTGAGTTTTTATCATTAATAACCTTTTGACCCACCCACATATAGGAGATTGAGGCCTCTTTGAGGGCTTCACATTACACATGTAAGTTCTGACAATCACAACTACAGCGATACTCTTCAAGACTTTTTTGGCCTTTATTGTCACCAGTAATTTTTATTCTTGTACATTTTCAGTTACATACATTAAGAAGGAGCATATAGGAAAGCGAGAAAGGTGTAAAAAAAAGTAATATCTTTCTTTTTCTTTGTCAGAACTTATAAATACTTTCTCCAAGAAAGCTGTCAATTTAATTCTTGTGAGAAGTTACTAAGAAATAAACAAAGCATGGGAGTCTAACCCTGCAAACATAAAAATATAGATATTTATGAAATATTGGATATTGCGATGGTGGTGGATCAAGGAAAGGGATTCTGTAATGAGATAAGCCCTAACCAAAATTGTCTTGGGACCAAACTCTTAATTTGCAGGTTCTTTTCACCCTAAGTTCTGGGTCTGACATTTTTATTGTGATTATTATTTTAGTGTAATTTTTATCAGTATTAGTGTGAATGCAAGTCTTATGTAGAGGGGGACTGGGGCTGGCATGCATAGTGAGTAGATATGTTTTTGAGAGCTCCGCTCTAGTTATCTTGAAAATAATTTTCCAAATTTATGCAACCAAGGGTTAACAGGAGTCTATGATGTTCAACATATATTGCATACAATAATTAACAAAACCATGTTAGGCATTGAATTGATATAGCACTAATCATTTCCAGGTTGTCTGTTCATCTATTTATTCAAGTACTTGACATCCTTCTGCAGCAGAGGACTCCCCTGACCAAGCTGCCTGTTGGTGCTGTACTGAAGAGAATGGTTGAATATGAAAGAAAAGGTTTCTTCAGTGAATCTAGTGTGATACAAACTTCCAGGTTTATCTCTAGCTGGAAATTTGACACAAATTTAACTGAATTTGATGATTCAATAAACAACAGTGACCAGATTAATACTCTTGCTTGTGATGGAAAGTTCTTGTACCATGTTAGTGGAGAAAGTAAAGGGCTTGTCAAGATTGGCACTGGAAAGTGGGGAACTGTAAGGCGAGTGTGATACACAAGTTTATTCTGCACCACCATCTTTAGTTCTTTTAATAAAGATATTATTATTGTGAATATATGTGTACAACTGTACTCAGCAGTGCTATAAGGTTTGGCTCTTAATCATTCTCTTGCCTATAGGGTAAAGTCAGTTTATGAGCCTGGTGATGCAACTGGTCAGATCTAATTTTGGTTTCTGTGACATGATGTAGCTTCACTCCCATCCATAATTAGTTTGGATACTTCTCCAGAACAATATCTATGATCCTTTTTAGTCCCTTTCCCCCTTCTCGTGTTGTTAGTTTCCAATCTGTCCTTACCATTTTGCAGACCAACACTGAGAGGACCCTAGTAGGGATTAAGTGTTCCATCAAACATTTCTGGGAGTGTGGGAATATTGCTACTTCCCCAGCTATTGTCACGCTTATCTAACAGTTTTTTGTGGCCTGTATGTACTCCTGGGTGGAATGAGGTACTATGAAAGTTCAGTGTCTTTCTCTTTGGACTCCAAACAGAATACCTGGTCAGGGCTTAAATGTAGAGCTTGTGAACCTAAGAGCATGATATGCCAACCACCAGGCCTTTGCATCTTTTATAATTTCTGAGTAGGTTTACCCAAAGTAGCTTTGCACAGGACTACTCTACTCTACAATTGATATCCATAAATTATTAAAATTAAAGACAGCCTTAGTAAACCATCATGGGAACCTGAAAGTCACCAAGAGCAGCTTGTAGGAACTTTTTTACTGAAATGCGACATATATTAACTCAGTCTCTGATTTGATCCTAAGGGTTGAAATGTTTATTTTTTTGGTGCCTACAGGAGTGCTGTTTATGCCAGAAATGCTGATCTAAAGAATGGGTGGCTAACCATTGTACAGGATAGGTTGTTATTTCGACCAAAGCAGTTTGATACCCAACCTGCAAACTTATGTTATGTATTGGATGTAGTGTCCTTGAAGGTAATTTTATCCATAAAATACTAACAAACCTAGGTTTCAGTGTATCCTGTTATCAGTTTTGACAAATTTCATCCTGGGTAAAAGCTTGAAGTAAGGTCTTCCTTACATTGTATTAGGTATGGGACAGAGAGACCTTTTTTGAAGATTACATGATTACGTTATAAGGAAGAACAAGCAAATGAGCTCTAAAACAATGTTAAAGTTACTATAAATTTCTTAATTTAGAGATCCTGATCAGGCTGTTCATATTATTTGAAAACAAAGTAAATTTAGCCAGGACCAAATCTTCAGGGAAACAGCTTATTATTAACCCTTAAACTCCCAAGATCTGATTATTAATTTTCCCCTCTAGCTGCCAGACATTTCCTTGTAAATTCCTTACAAGAATTTGGTGTTGGTAGATAAAGATAACATTTTCCACCTGATAATCTTGAGTACTCTCATTATCTGTTTATTGGATAGTATAAGGATATTGTAAGGAGATGTTGCATGTTAATCACCACTGGGAGTTTAATGGTATAATAACTGCACTTTATTTATTAGAAGAGGAAATCTCAAAGAAAAAAAAAACATAAATGGAAAGTATAAGTGAAAAACCAAATATTTCAAGACAGTGTGAACAAAGAAAAACTACCAAAGAAATGACCATGGCCTGAAATCTGAAAAAAGCCATTCTCCCTTCTTAAGTTTGGTTTTATTTTTATTAGGTCTTACAGACAATAAAGTTTAGGGATGCAGTTGAACCTGGAGCTGATGAAATGCAAACTCTGCAATGCAGAACAGTGCAATTACTGAGTGATCAGGTTCATTTATTTTGGCTGTGGTGTTCAACACCAACAGAATCAGCCAGTCAAGAGAATAGAAGAGTGGATTTGTGGTTACAAGAATTCAAACTAGAAGCATGTGATGATAAATTAAAAGCCTCTCCTTGTGGTGAACCAGTTGTTGTGTCAAAGAAGGAGGAACCTCCTTCCTGTTTGTCATCACCATTGCCCGTCAGACATTCACCAACAACACCTACTGGACAAAAAGATGCAGAAGGTGATTCATTACCTTATTTTGGGTGGGGTTTTAATTTACCAATATTAATGATAAGTTTTGAACTAAGGCCTATTCAACTTAAATGTAAATGAAGCCACTTTTACTTGTAATGAGTTTTCACCTCCTCATCTTGGACCTTGTAGTTATAATACATGGTGCAGATGGTACAAACTGCAAATTTTATTTTAAAAAATATTTTCAGTCTTTTCAGTATTTCATCTTGCTATCTCACTCTCTTTTCCAAGGCCCCAAAACATTTTTGAGCTCACCAATTACTGCCACTTCATCATGCATATAATTCTCCATATATTACTTTGATAAACATGCACTGTACCAGGCTTAAAAAAAGATAAGTCAAATTGTCATCATTGTTGAAGTCCAATAAAGTGTGTGACATCTCTTACTTTTACTTTGTTGTTTGGTTATGGATGAACTTTAGATATTGTCAGTTGTGGTGTATCAATGGGCACTCTGAAGCAGTCAGCCATGTTTATCAGTGGTGAAACATTGGTTATAGTGGTTCCACACCTTACCAGTCCTTCTGGTCCTATGCTGCTGACACTTAGGGGACAAAAAAGTAAGGCACACAAATTTGTCAACTCACATGTAGGCATTGACCTCTTTTTTTAAGAAAATAGATCTCTTTATGAGATATATGTGTGTTCTGACAAGGTACTTCTCAATTCTTTTCAGCTAGAGCGATGTGAGTCACCTTTGTGCAATTTTCAAAAAATAACAATTATAATAATAATTGCAACAAGAGGTGAATAGTGGGGGATGTTTACCAAGCCATGAAGTCGTAAATATCCACCACTTTCAGCAACACTGTGGTGAATAATTGTTTTAATATATACTTAGCACAGATACCAAAACATTAGTTTATTTCTGTCAATATACTGAAAAAATGATTGGAAATTAAACTCTAGATGCACAACTTTGTCAACTGCTTAGAGGAGCATAAAGCTTGCTATTCACCTCCAAACTAGCCAATCAGAGTGTGGGAAAAGTACTAGTCACTTAATGTGTGGTGTATGCTAATAACAATTATAATATGAAAATATAACCAGTAGGCTCTCTGTTTAATGACATGTGTCTTATTTTTTGGAGAGAGTTGAGTGACAAACTTTAATGATAATTTTTGTCTTTGGAGCCTTTTTTTTTTTTTGTCTCTGAATTTTTCTGGGTGTTTTTTTCTTTCCCAGGTCCAACAAATTATTGCTTTTCAACTGTGGATGGTTCTTGTGTTAAGCATGAGAGTGTTGTTAACTCAGCTTCATCAAAATGGCAAGATTTAATAGCTCCAGGACTAAGTAAGGACAGTACTTATAGTGAAACTTGTGAGCAGACTTTAAATTAAGCATTAAGTGAGCATCAGCTAAAGTCCTGATTTTGTTTGTAAATGAACCTGTATTTAGTGGAAAGCTCTATTAAGAAGACATGGATACTCAGATCAAATCATCTTGTGAACCTGTGAAGTCATCCAAGCTATTGGCAAACCAGCTTAAGTTGTCAGTGAACTAAACAAGGTTGTTAACAAACCAACATTGTTGTTAGGAAGCTTGCATAAGTTGTTGGCAAAATCATTTAAGTTATTAGCAAACCAACTAAAGACTTACCGAGAAAAAACTTGAAACATGCTAGTTTTAATGTAGACTTATTTTTAAGAATATCAATTTACAGGTGTCTGTCATGATGTAGTTAACAGTAGGCTGTGGAGTTATTGCTGCAATCATATTGGTGAATGGGTATCTGGTGGACTTCCATCCTGTAATCAAATATCTCAGCTTCTTGGAACTTCAGGCTCAGGTTAGAAAATTACCCTTAATGGATTTTTGGAAATTCGTTTCTCACAAGACATGTTTAAAAGACAGAGACAACAGGAATAAGTTCAATAAAGCAAGGGGAAGATTAGCACTCACTGTTAGGATTTTAGTTTTTGATAAATTAGTTTTTATTTTTTATTTCATAGCTGTAACCACACAAGGTTCAGTTGACCTGGTGGAGGCTTCTTCGCTCCTGGCACATCACATAACATATCTATGCAGACGACAAGATGCTAAGACAAAGGTGGCTTCAACGAAAAATGAAGAGATTCATTTTGGTGATACTTCAGACTTTTGCAACATAAGGCATATCAACAATGTTTTAAATGCTGCCATTACCAATGGCCAACATGATGTTACAATAGCCATGCTAGTTGCTCTGCAAACTCTTATGACACAAGTCAGTGAAAGGGCAAACAAGCTTGATGACAACTCTGTTAAAGGAACAAAACATCTTGTTTGGAAACTGGTTCAGTCTCCTGCTGATTCTGTTGGAGCTGAAATCAAGCTTGAAGCTTTTAAGGTGTTGACAGTTGGTCTGGAAGTGTTTTATTCCACTCCGTCAGAGAGGAGTGCTCTACTAATGCTACTATTGTCTGAAGGAGAGTCTTCTTCAGACATGGCAATGCTGTTGAATTTTTTACTCTCAAATTTAACTGAGAACTTAATGAGTCATAAACCTGGGGCATCATCCAACGAAAGGTAGAGTGGTAGTATTTGATAGCCATAAATGACAAATAGTTTTAATGATCAAACATCAGAAGTGAATAATTATCAAAGATTGTAGGAATAGACAATGACCTCACGATTTTACACAACCATGTGTGTCTGTCTAAGGATACCTAATTTAGAGAAGAGGAAGTGGTAAGGGTCTTCTCACCTTCTGCCCTTCCCCCTCCCCCCACATTCTTAATTTTGGCTTTGCTGAGATGAAATTTTGTTCTGGTTGTATGGATGAAGGTGTAGTATAGGACTGACTTTTAAAAACAAAGGGTTTCTTGAAGACAAGTGTGGAAGAATCATGTGCAGAGGTAGATGAAATTTTTTTTTATAGCAGGTAATATTTTAAGAGAGAGCTATATGAAATTCCTGCATTGCACTCCATAACCTGTTTCTGCATTTGTTGTAAACCTGTCAGAGATATTTTGTTGAGTGTATAACAAGTTGCATTGTTTCCTTAGGTTAGCAGAAGATGTGGTCTTTGCTGCTCTGAAAGTATCTGTCAAAGAGTCATGTCACTTGATCATGCAGTGTTGTAGTCTAGAGGATGAACCATTCTGTGCTCTGGTTGCCAAACACCCAGTTAGTCACTTTATTTTATATTGCATATAATATTCAGAGGACATCTCTATAATTCCCATTCTTTTAATGAAAATCTTTTGGCTAGAAAGCTGATTTTGTTAAGTATAATATTCCTTTTTCAGAGAAGTGGATAATGCCAAAATTATGATCTGACTATTGTACAGATGTAAGTTTTCAATGGAAGTGTTTTTAACATTTCTGGAGAGTCTGCCTATGAGTCAACAGTAAGAAAACCAAGTCCAAACTTCTAAAGAAATACATGACAGCAGTAACAAGTTTAATTGAATGAGTTATGTGGTAAAATGAATTCTGTAAAAAAAAAAATTAAAATTGAATCAATAGGTTGCATTATATGCTCCAGCTAGTAAAACTATAATTAGGTGCTCATGTAAGCTGGGCAAAGGCAGAGAATAAAGATAAACTTGCATTATGGCTATGAAACTGTTTCAACTGACCTGTTTTGTTTTATACACAGGACCTTTCTCCTGTTCTGCACTATGTAACAACTGTCTTTGCAAGAAGCTGGAGAGATTTTGTACTCCCTGAGGAGCAGGAATCAGATGTCAAGGTTAAACATGTCTGTTTCATGTTTCTGTTTCTATCAGCTAACATATAATTGTTAGTGGAGACATACATTCATGATGAGGATATCTTTGATAGCCAGATGAAATTTTACAAGGAATGTAGTATTATTGCATGGATGGTCAAAGAGTTATGATAGTTTACTGCCATAATTGATTGTGTGTTTCATTTATTCATTAGGGTTTTGATGACACAGTAAAACCAGTTGATTGTCAGAAGCTCTCATTAATAGTCCTAGAAGCTTGTCAACAGGTCAGAATGACCACCAATACTTTTTAATTGAGATGCAAATTATAAGTGAGACTTGGAGGAAGTTAGTGGGCACTGAGAGAGATATGATGAACTGGGTCCAGGCTCAACCCCTGCCAGACTCTCGATCATTTCCAAGCCTCTCTCCACCCAGCAGTATCAAAAGTATTGTCAGGGAAACAACTGATGAAATGAGGGGGAGGGAATCTGTTATGGACCAGCATCTCATCCAGGGAGAGTACTTGTAGCAATACCCCTTTCTTACTTCATTCAAATTAAACCAAGATAGGCTGCAACAGTATTTTGGGCCAGCAGGGTTGTAAGACATTGATGTAGAGGAGTTCAGTTTCCCCATAGATAGATGTTCTATTTGAAATGATGGCTTAAACTTCCCCCTATTCCAAACTGAAATTTTCTCCCTTTATGTCCCATCATTTTTAAGTTGTTAGTGTAAAGTTCTCTGCAGTTAGATTTAAATGATTTCATTCATATCTTTTAATATGGTCTTTGTTTTCTTTAGATTCTTGATGTTGTTTTAGAAGTTCTTTCCAAGTTGTCAGAGGAGTGCAAAGGAGGAGTAAAATCCAGAGTTGAGGGACTTGAGCATGTAATGAAGGCCACCCTTGTGGGACAGATCCTTCCTATGCTGGCATCAGTTTTGTCCTCTGATAGATGTCTCACTCTGTCCATGGCTAAGAGCTTTCTCCAAAGTGTGACCAACGTAACGGTGACTGCAGCAAGGGTGAGAAAATGAATGGATGTTATCCGTTTGGTTTTGGCAGTGGTTTTATCAATTTTATCCATTTAGTGACGAGAATGGTGATCTGTTAATCAGCAAAAAAGAAAAATTTAAGATTTTTTATGACTTATTTTTCTGGGTCTATACTGAACATACACGCCCTTGATTTGTTCAATCCAATTTTTTATTTCGCTCTATGATTATTTTTTTTTATATAAATATATATAATTGTTTTTTTTTCCTCTGTTTTTAATTCAAAAGCTATGGACAGTTTAATTGTGTTATGTTTCCCGTAAGGTGCATGGGTCGTTGGGTCGCTAGTATGACGGCTTATTTCTTTTAAACGATTTCTCTCATGGTTTGTCAGGGAATTCAGTTACGTTTGAAAGCAAATTTCACAAGCCACGTTATTTTTCGCAGGTTGCTCACTTCATATCAGAGTTGAAATCATCGTCACAGGATGATGCTAAAGATGAATGTCGGGCCCCCTCCCCGGAATCCAGTACTTTCTTATCACCATGGTTAAGACCCCGTAAAGTAGAGAGTCCACACCCAGTTAGAGATGCCTACCAGTGCTGTGAAACCGTAGTGTTACCAGGCGTATCATGTCTGTATCTTAACTTTGATCTAAGATGTGCCACTCAGTATGATTACGATAAGGTAGGCCGAGTCACAGAGGTCTGTTCTCGTGCAAAATCCAGTTGAAATCCTTGCTATGACCCCTTCGCCTCACATAAGCTAATTTTAGAGATTTTTTTTTTAGAGTGGAATATATCGGTATGTTGTTCTTCACAAATGTTTGCTCTCTGATCGTGTTTGGTCGAGAAACAGTCGACGATGATGTTTATCTAAGCTTAGAGTTGTACAGAGTTTGATTGGGTTTTATTCCTGGACGCTTGCGCGCTTAATGACGCAATACTTTAACTTTCAATTCAAGAATATTGAGAGCGTCTTTTTTAGTAAAAAGATGAAAAAATGTTTTTAATCGTCCTTCTACTAGGTACTTGTATACGCTGGCAATAACACAAATGGTCGCAAAGTTGCAGAGTTTGGTGGCAACTCGCATGGCGCAGGCAGCAGAGGTGTTGTGCAGATGGGATGGCCAAAGGAACCTCTCATGGTGGAGGGTGATGCAGTCACTATCTCATTCCAAGTGAAGAGTTCACGGGAGCGTAACACCCCAGATGTTGCTGTGTGGGGATTCAGTTGCATTGTAAGCACAAAGGTAGGTCAGTTTTTCTCACATTCAGTTACATAGAAATGCGAAGGTCTCGTAGGAACTTAGAGACCCAGGGACTAACGCAAAAGATCCGGGAAGCTACTATTAAAAATCTGCCATCCCCATAACCATTCCAATCTCTCTGGTCCTTTCAACTTGAAACTCGAAGTTACAGTTGTGAAGATGCAGTTGATTTTAGTTTTTCATCCTATCGGTTTAGAGGGTGGTGCGAGTTTCCCCAGAACAATGGAATATCTCTTCCACATCAATGCCCTTTTCTTTTCAGGAGTATAAGGAAGAACCTTCCACGCTGTTGTTCTTTGACGACCTGTACCTAAGCCTCTCATTACTCACCCACAGTCTGCTGAAGGTTAGGTACCAGGGCCCAGCAAATACGGAAGCCGAAGATGCTTGCCAACATTTACTCGATTCTGAATTGTTACAAAGGTGAGAGGACTCCTCCAGATACTATACTCCGTGTTGATGTCGTGTAACCTAGTTGTGAGAATGATTTGAGAATCGTTTCGAGAAAACCGATAAGTGATGTAGGTCTGTTTGAAAGTGATTCGATGTATTACTTGACATGCAAATACGGCATACTTCTTTGTTTTGTGTTGCTTGGAGCGGCCCAATCTGCGAAATCGTGTTTGATTTGACATCAACTTTGTTACACCCCACTAACTGTGGCACCCGGCCCCCTGTTCCCCAAAAACGTGGAGTTACACCTGGAGCTTGATAGCCGCGGTTAAACAGGAGTTAGGAGATTTGACACCAACCTTGTAGCCCTGGGTAACCGTGATACCCCTTGTAAACTTGAAGGTCTACCCGGACTTTGAGAAAGATAGATAGATAGATAGATAGTTTATTATCAAGAACCTTGCAGCCACAGGCTGAATTACGTTTGATTTACAATAAAATATATACTACAAAAAATACATGGCTAAGAAGAACTAATTAAAAAGACAAAAATATATAATTAAGAGAAAAACAATATTACATCATTGCTTTATGGACATAGTGATGGATAAAACTATTTCGAGTACGAATGGTGTGGAGGCGCCGTGTAGTAAAAGAGTGCTGACTCCTTAAATTGACTTCGCACTCATTCTTGGGAGGTAGTAAGCTATAGAGCTTGTGCGAGGGATTAGACAGGATGGAATTAAAAAGCTTATCACATAAGAACTCGCGGCGGTTGTGTAAGGGAACTAGACCAGTCAAAAGAAGCGCCTCATTGTACGAATAATCTGGATAGATAATACGTAAAGCTCGCCTTTGACATCTCTCAAGATCTACTGAAAGGTATTGCGGGAGGCTATGATGATAAACAGGGCATGCATATTCAGTGACAGGCCTAATACAAGTCAAATAGAAGAGCAAAAGTTCCTCCGACTTGACTTGTGCACGCTTAAGCTGACGCAAAAAATACAGGCGCTTGTTTACTTTCTTTACAACTTCGGATACGTGATTATTCCACGTAAGATCGCAAGATATCTGCAAACCTAAGATCTTTGCTTGCTCTACACACTCTAAGTCCTGATCATTAACCTTAATTGGATCAAAGTTCTTTCTAGAGTGACTGAATGTTATGCGCAGTTCCTTGCACTTGGTTTCATTTAATTGGAACTTGTCAGCAGAAGCTTGCGTCGCGAGTTCGTCAACCGCTTGTTGGACTTTGCTGACCTCAGACTTCATGACTGTTTCAGAAATAGTGGAGTCATCGACATATTTCCACATGTCTGTACCCGGGATGATGAGGTCGTTTATCATAATAGTAAATAACCAGGGGCCAAGTTTTGTGCCCTGTGGGACCCCTGATGGGATGGCCCCCCACTCCGAGTAACAGTCCTGACTAAGTTTAACACGCTGTCGGCGACAGGACAGAAAGTCCACTATCCAGTCAATTATTCCGCTTGGAAGATCGTATGAAATGAGCTTCTGAACTAGGATCTGATGGTCAATAAGGTCAAACGCCTTGCGGAAGTCAAAGAGGATGGTTCTGACAGTTGCACCGTTCCCATCCGTAGCACTAAGCCATGAGTGGACCATGCTTATTAGTGCTTGTGTCGTACTGGAACCTGGCACAGTCCCAAACTGCCGTACATCCACTTTCGCCAACACAACAGGCTTGAGGAAACTCTCCACGACGAAATCTTCAGCAACCTTAGAAAGCACGGGAGTTAGGGATATTGGACGTAGATGTTTGTTTACATCGTGTATTGGATTCTGCTTTGGTACTGGAGTGATGTTAGCGTCCTTCCAAGACTGAGGCAACCGTGCTTCCTTAAACGAACAGTTAAGGATATCAGTCACAGGCAGTGCTAGTAAATCTGCATTCTCTTTAAGAAGCCAACCGGGGATTCCGTCCGGACCGGTTGCCTTAGTTGGATTTAAGGCGGATAGCTTCTTTAAAACAGAGAATTCTGATACCTGGAAAGCACTCTCCTGGTCAGAGTTGGTTGAGGTGTTAGGTGAAAGGGGGGTGAAGACGCGCATAGGAGCCAAGAACGCCTGGTTGATGGTGTTAGCAATGTCTATCGTGCTTGGAGGCGAACCTCTCTGACCACAATCAATATGTTGGTAGAGGGTAGCTGGATTAACGCCTCTAGAAGCTGCGTCTGACGTACCACTGAGCTTCTTTACCTCACGCCACCAAACTGCGGGTTTACAGTCCTTCAGATGTTCAACCTTGGAGTTATAGAACTTTGCACGGCATGCTTTCCTCTCACGATTAACGCGATTTCGTAGGGTGCGGTACTGCTCCTGGTCGCCTTGAGCGAGGGCCTTTTGGCGGCTGTGAATGAGACCCTTCAATTGTTGATTGACCCAGGGCGGCTCGTTGGTTTGTACCGACTTAGACTTCAGGGGGAGGAGAATGTCCATTCCGGTCTTAACTATGGTCTCCAGCATTTCCACTTTGCCCTTGCAAGAATCTTTACTATCGATAAGTGTCTTAACGTCCACATTTCCAAGATACGTGCGCATAGCCATACGCGTTGTAGGCCGTAAGTCCCTCGATTTCACGATAAGTTTAGTTCTTGGTTGTTGGGAACGCACGAGCGGCTGAACTTCCACAGAGAAATGATCGGACAAACCGAGAGCAGGGCGCTGGATCGGAGGGGCATAGAACTCCTTTACATTTGTTAACACCGGATCTAAGGTATTTCTGCCGCGAGTTGGAAAGGTAACGATTTGCTTCAAATTAAAGCCGTTACTAAGGCGCGAAGATTTCTTTAACAGAGTTTTATTGAAGTCACCAAGTAAAATTATCCCGCAGCCAGGAAAGCGAGCCTCAACCAAAGATAAACAGTTATACAAATAATCCAGCATAGGCGAATCCGCGGCGCTCGGAGAATGATAAACAACTCCAACAATAATGCTGGTAATGCCCCTTGGGAGACGCGAAGGCCGTATTTGAGTCCAAACAACTTCAAACTTCCTATCCATAATGTCCTCAATGATCTTGAATTGGATAGACTCTTTAATGTACAGACACACTCCCCCATGCACTGCTTCAGTTCGATCTCGGCGGATCACGTTATAGCCAGAAATAGCGACAATATTATTGTCAATGTGGTCTTTGAGCCAAGTCTCTGTTATGCATACAAGGTCGAAATCTGCATAATGGACGACTTCACGGACTTCATCTATTTTCGGCGCCAGTGACATGACGTTGGAGAGAAAGAACGACGGCATGAATAGCTTTGATGACTTTGCAGGTTCGGCTTTAGATGGTGTAGGTGGAATAGCGAGAAGGTTGGCGTTATTACAGTATTTGTGACTGGACTTCAAACGGTAGGGGCCATGGTTGGCTGACCTTGGTGAAATAACTGCAATATGGCGGTGACGATAAACTTCTCGCTCCTTCACTTGTCGTCCAGCTCTGGTACCGCGATAAGATGGCCATTTCCCACCATGAAATCGAAGAAAACCAAAAGAGGGGCGAACCTGGACCATTTTGCGGCAGCAGATATAACATTTAAGGCAATAAAGTTCAAAAATTACGGAAGCAGATGAGACCTCGTGCTGCCTTGAAAGGCGCATACATTACATCCAAGAATTAGGAGGTACCCTAGAGGAGCTCAAAGGGAAGCTTAACATTAACCTTGTTAGCCCCATACGGCTTAGATGTAATAGGACCTCTTGATATACTTGAATGCTTTTTCCTGCCTTTCCTGCAGGTGTGTGTGGCCAACCTCAGCTGACGCATCGACAGCATCAGGAACGTGTGGTACAGCCATTACAGTTGAATCAGAGAAGAGTTCTCCTTCTAGTCTTGAAAGTGTTTCATCGAAGCCGAGCGTCAAATTGTCTCCAGACCTTTTGAAACGTCTGAGAGTTGCCTCAGGTAAAAGTTATAAGGAATAACAGATTTTGGAACGAAACAATTTCGCTTTATTTCAAGACATTTTTCCTTGTCTTATTGCGATATTTGTTTGTTACTCAATTTCGTCGGGAAATTGATTTATTCAAGCAACTTTTCAAATATGTGATGTAGGCTTTAAGTCCAGGAGGTTTCAATGTCTTGCCTTAAGCACGCATCCGATATTCGATATCCGAAAAGGGCCGGAAATGAGTTAATTAAAAAGAGAACTCGGAACGTTGCAGAGCGAAGATCAAGTGTCACTTAAAGCAAATGATTGTTTTTCTTATCCTCTATTAAGGTATTCTGGCCCCCACTCTCCGCCCCAGCCTACAGCAAGCCATACTACCAGAAGCCATCGAGGAAGTAGTGGTTCGGTGTGCGATTAACCATTTAGGACTCAGTAAGACTGTTCATGGTCTGGAGCTTCTTCAGGCGACGGAGACAGATGGTGAGGAGTACAGTTACCTATGTGACGTGATGCGGGAGGTGTACAATCGTTTGAACGGTCTGATCAGACAGCTGCAGACTATGGCGGAGATGGAGCAGAAGTGGGCTCACGAGATGGAAGATGTACGTAGTGGAATCCTGCAGCCGAGTGCTGCCTTCTTCGATGAATTCCACCTGCAAGAGGTATCATGCTCGGTGTATCTCACTTTTGATTTGTCAAAGCGAAGGCGCCTCTTTTAGTCAAAGTTATTTAAAATTCTCAGAGAAGCGTGATGGCCTACTTTCAATCGATAAAGTAGTTGATGTACTGTTTTTAAGTGAGGCGTATTTCTTATTTTGTTTCACAGGCCAAGAGTAAGGAGCTTGAGTTACTGTGTTCACTGAAAAATGTTGAGTTTGATCCCATAGAGCAAGAAAAATCGGTGGGCAAACTGATGTGAGTAGAAGAATATGATCAAGATAGAAATTTTGATATTCCTGTTTTGGATTTCAAAGATAAAGAGAAAATTAAAGAGGATCGATAGGATTTCTAACAGGTCCCTACACTGAGAAGTGAAGGGACCTCCTCCTCTGTCCTACAAGAAACGGATAAGCACCAGAGCATGCTTCTCGCACCTGACAGTTGTCTTAGTTGGCTGTCAGGCCTACGAAGTGTGCCAAAGCAACCCAGGATCTAAGTGAAGTTTTATAGCGTTGTGCCTTGATAAGACTTTCATTTAGACCTGGAACAATTCATAACGTCGATCGAATACTAATTCTAACCCCCAACGTCATCAACGTAGTCTTTTGACCCTTTCACCCTTAAGAGTAACTGGTTTTTAACTTATCCTTACAGTACCACCCATTGATTAAATACAACTGTCATGAAAATAACTGAAATGATCACCACTTTAGGAAGCTACTGATTTTCAAACAAATTCTCCTTGTCTGAACTAGAGGAAATGTAAAGAGAACAATTTGGATAATACGAATGCCTGTGCAAGGGTGTATAGGCTTATTCTTGTTTGGGGAAATGCGACCCAATGATGTTCCCCTGTCGGGTCACCGTGTTGGCAGGAACCCTGGGTGCTTAACTCTTCACTGTTGTTTTGTATTTCTCTCTTCTCAGAGAGCGGCTGGATACAGAAGCAAGAGCAGAACCCCAACAGGCTAAAAACGGTCTGAATGTGATGCCAGTCACCAAGAAGTTTCTGTTTTCTATTATGGAGTGTGCAGAGCTTCTTTGTAATGTGACTATTGAAGCGAGCCGGAAGAAACCTGTTCCAGAGAGAACTATATCGCACTGTAGCTTTGCACCGGATCACGGTCAACAATCGAAACAAGGTACGTTTGTCAACCGTTTTAATCGTCTCTGTTCTTAACTCTCATCGGTATTTATGTTTTGTTATTAGTTACCTCCAAGGACGAGAACCTTGCTCCTTCTTCGCCGCTTCTCAGTCGCTCATTTTCAGCACCATCCACCCTGGATCAATCTACGTCACTTCAGGAAGGCATACATGACATACGTAGATTGCAGCGCTGGAGAACGAACGTTCAAAAGAAGCACAGTCGGGTTTCATCTGAAAATCAGACGGATTCTGATGCAAGAACTTTTGTTTCGACTGTGGCCGAGATTTTCACTTTTATTGGCAGCAATCCAGACAAAGCTGTAAGTAGGGGAATTTCTTGTGAAGGCCGAGTTTACTGCATTCGTTGATAAACTGTTGTAAAAGGCAAAGGGTATTTCTTTTGAGTATCGAAAACCAAAACCATATCAATCGCATCGGTCTATCAGAGCGAAGAACAATGTTTCAAGGGGGCAAAGAGAACTTAAAAGTAAAACAAGCAAACTTCTTGATGTGGGGGGAAGCTCTTCGAGTCAAACTGATCACAGTGTACAGTAAAGTGAGCTCAATGCAGTCCGAATTACTTTCGATTGTAAACTGGAAATTGCGTGAACAATACGTTGATTCCTTCGCGAGCGTTTATGATCGGGTAATGATGGACGTTGAGAGTTTCCATACCCCGAAAAAAGGTAATAGTTTATTGATCCCTACCGACAGAGTAAGCCAAGTCTATCAATAAGCTCTGCTGATTTCAATTTTTTTGTGGTATTTGCGAAACTTATTTCCTTACTCTTCGTCAGGTGACTTGTTCCAGTTTCCTCGCTGCAGCTCGAGTCCGGAATGAGCGAGGGTTGGACCGAGTGCACGCTCTCCAGTGTATGATAGAGCTGGTTACAGTTTGCTCCCGACTTGGTTTGCATTTGCCTTATGTGATGACTGCTGTGGCTTCCATTCTTGCTCAAGGTCCAAGGTGAGCATTGATATATTTCCCTGGTAAAGCGCGCTGTAGAAAGTATTCACTAACTCAGTGGGTGCTTAGTGAGTCTTGAAACATGGTTCGTGACATGGCTAAGTGGCCTTCAATCGAAAACCATGCCATGAGTTTTGTAGGTGTAACAACCTAACTTTGTGCAAACCAGATGTAGACTTTATTTTGCGCAGAATGTACAAATCAAGAACGAAGATATTGAATCGCCGAATTTAAAAGTCGTAATGGGCAGAAAGATAGATTTTGCAAAGTTATTTTGTGCGATTATGTCATGGTACCGGAAAGAAAGGTTGTTCAGCCGTCTTTTATGTGATACGCAGCAGTAATTTTGTACGGTCCTTGCCATCAGTTTGTGCTGTACTTTATTATCATTTCAGGGGGTCATCTTTTCTGCGTAGCTTCGCATGTGTTAAAAGAAAACAAGATCTGCCCATTCTAACACTGCAAACCCCCTTGCTGCACTCAAAGTTGTTAAAATTTCTCTAGATAAACCATGCCTTAGAAGTGCGCATCCTCAAGCATCCGTGTGTCAATTTTTGTTTCAGGCCTGAGGAGCTTAAATGCGGAGGCATGGTGCGAGAGGTTCGCGACATGTTCTCTGCTGCAGTCCAAGCCGTGGTCCAGAGGGCGTCCTCTGAGCCAGAAGTGTATCGTGACAGCGTATTAGTGCTCTCTGTCTGTCCGTTCTCATGGCACGAAGAGCGCTGTGTAATGAGGAGTGGTTTAGTGTATCTGTTGGATAAACTGTGTTCTATGAGAAGCAAAAAGACTGACACAGCATTGAATTTATCAGCTATGGCTTGGGCTGGCTTTCAGGTGCTTTTGGATCGGATAGTTCAGTGGGAGAATGGTAAAGGTAAGAAGTTAATCTTCGCTTATGTTGCAAATTGGCCTCTGATGGTTTTAGTTTCCTTGACATCCATCTTTTGGACTCGTCATTCATCATGCGTAACCTCCCTCTCCCACTCCCCTCTGCTTCACTTGAAGAACAATGAGGGTGACCTCCTGGCTTCAACACTTATCGCGAGGCAATGCCAACTTTGCTGAAAGTACGTTGTATAAGATCAGATAAGAAATTTTCGGTAACATCAGTTGGTATGAACTTTCACAAGGAACGTAAAACCCAGTTGTAAGGGATGGAGAGGTTAAACCACCCATGTCTTGTCAATCAACTGCAAATTTTGTGTGAAACTGCACAATGGTTTCTATTTTTCTGTTTAGATTTCTGCCTTGGTGCTATTGAGTGGTCTGGCTTAGCCCATCAAGTGTCCAGTCTGTTGTCGAACTACCTCAGTTGTGTATTGGAGGAGGGCCGTAAGGACGGTGTCTCTTCTAGGGACGCTCTGCAGTACGTCATGGAATTGTTACACGGAATTAGCAGGTCAGTTGATTACTCGGTTAATTACTCAATATCTGAGTTTACAGCAAATTTCAGTCGAGTATTGTCAGTGTAATCCGGTATTGTGATGGTTTTTGTTTACTACGTTTGACGGGTGGTCTCAAAACTCGCGCTACTTTCCCTACGATCACGCACTCCTTTTCCGGAGGGAGCGTCTGAAGGAAAATAATTTTATCGCAGGTTATGTTCTGCCTCCTTAGCTAATCAAATGCAATACTATAAAAGATTGGGCATGCGCAATTTCGTGTGAAAGTACCGAAATGACAAACTCACATCTTAAAACCTTTTCAACTCTCAGGAGCGATTCACACGTTACATCTTCCGATATTAATATATTACTCAGCGAACAAGTAGTGTGAATACACCAAGATATCTTCAAAAGGGTGTTCTCTTGAAATGACAACAGATTCTCTGAACTAATTTACAAGGAACTGTAGAGCTGGTTGAGGGGAGAATCTCCATTCTCATCGTGGCACCTAAAGGATTAAGCTGACTGGAGTATCACAAAGTGATTAAGATTACTCAATGTTTGTTTTCTTCTGGAAATTAGGAGCAAACTAGGAGACGGGATTCTTCGTGAGCCACGCACCATCTCCACCCTCCTATCGCTACTACTGGATCGCGAAGCGCCTCCTAAACTAATACTTATTGTGCTCAAACTCTGCTGCTTGGCCTTACCATTGATGAGCGCCAAGAGCTGCGAGGAAGTAGAGTTACCCTCCTCTGCCAAGCTATATTTTGGAGGGAAACATGAAGAGAGCCTTGAGGGGAGCTCAGTGGTTAGAGTAGCTAAACTGTTTCTTGCTAAGCTGGGTGACTTTTTGCTGCCTTCACTGAGTCCGGAAAGGGAGGAAGATCAGGAAGAAGAAGTGGATGAATATGACGACAGTGAGATCGCACACAAAGATGAAGACAGCATGTGTGTGTATGTACATAAACGAGATGATCAACCGGCTCATGAAATTGTTCGGAATGTTCTCAGGTACAGTGTAAAAACAACTTTGATTTAAGTGTCGAAAGAAATCTAGGATTTGAATGGAAATGTACTGATGCAACGAGACATTTTCAATTTCAACATTTAAAAAATGATTGGTGACTTTGGAAGAGTGTTACTAACTAGATCGCTAGTCTAACAACATTTGTATTTTCTCACTCAGTATGATCAGTATGGGCTTTTTCTTTGTTGTTGGACACGGTTCGGAGTTGGAGCGCGCGGTCAAGCTTGACCAAGAGCTGACCGAGTACGGACAAGGTGTTCTTCTCACCGACACTTTGTCAGAGTGTTTAAAGAAGGCGGCTGAATGGGCTCAGAAAGGACTTGTGGTCAGTATAGGCCCTGCTGCCTTGGCAGAAGGAGATGGAGGACAAGGAATACCTTTAGTGGGATCCGGAGACCCAGAGAGAGTCTGTAAAGCCAGGAACAGCCGTCTGTCAAGGTTCGTCTGATTTACTCAGCAGTTCAGGAGTCATTACTTGCCAACTCTCTCGTTAACAAATCTTATCTTAAAGAGAGGCATGGCGGAATGCAGTAAGAAGTAAGAAGAATTTCGAGGTCGTTTTACAGTCAGAAAAAGCGTTTATTAACTGTTAAGGTAATTCCATTGTGTTGCATTGCGCATCCTTTCTCGGTCGCACTGGTAGCACTTGCACATCAACGCCGAAGGGGAAGTCCGTCCTTTTCAATTTTCCTCCCATACATTGTTAATGTCTTATCTCCCAATATTTATATGTATGCTTTTCCACTAATGGTTGGGTTTTGCCAAAAAAAAAATCATTTTTTTGTAATTGGCTTCTTTTTACCTCCCAATGACTTTGTCTTTTTAACTCAGAGTTTTTTTTTACAGAACCGAAACCAGCCGTCCATTCATCAGTGGTCAAGTAGCTCACACCATGGCTTCTGAAGTGATCTCTTTGTTGCACGGGTTCTTAACGCATTCTACCTCTGAGACCGCTAAGATATGGGCCTCTTCTGTGCGAGATGTGTTGTGCGAGGCGCTTAATTACGTGCCCGACTTGGTTAGGACCCTGGAAGCGGAAGGAAGGATCTCATCAGACGGGCCCCAAACGGCTCTCAAAGAACAGGATTCCGAAGATGATGAGAAGACTGGTCATGAACAAGAGTGGATTTTCAAAGCTAGGAGCATTATGGCGTCTCTCTGTGCTCTGGGTGGTTTTGGCCAAAGTATCCACCCAGGGTGCACAGTTCTGGTAAAGAATTAAGCTCGGAGTCGTAACTTTCCCCTCTACCTTTTTCACATTTCGATCAAAGTTAAACGTGAGAAGTTTGCGTCTTATTAGGATAGCACCTGTTTACTGGATACTGTATCAATCTGGGATTTGAAGGTGAAAGGGTTATGATATTACTAGTTTATCTCATTTGATTGAGACATCAATAAAAGATAACACAAAATTAGGAGGCTGGATTATGCTGTTATGTGATTTCAAGCTTTTTGCAGAAGTGTATTAAAATTGTCTCCCGCTGGTGCTAATGTCGCGATGGCCTAAAAGTAAACGCACTGGACTCTAAAGGTCCGTCAGGTTTGAACTTGGGCCTTGGACGTTGTGCTACGTTCTTGATAATTCTCACAGTGATTCTCTCCACGAAGGAGTACAAATTGGATAACACTGAACTATCATCAGCCTCCCTGGTAGCCCAAGCAATTTTTAGTACGAATGACTTTATTCTAATTTGACTTCTTGTCGATGCTTTGAGCATACAATTTACTTGCTCTTTCTTTCTTGCAGATCACCGGAGAAGATATGGTACGTACAACTGGCGAAGTTGTCAGTGTGTCCGAGAGACAGGGCGTGGCTACGGTACTTCTGGACAAGGGAGGGGAAAGCTACAGCGATAGGGTACAGGAGATACCACTGGCGAGGCTCGAAGTTGCCAACGCTCAGGTATATCTCCGTTCTTTAAGGCCTTCGAAGCAATTTAAGTTTCTTGCCTCAAGAGACCTCAATTCAAATCGATTTGATAGAGTTTTGTAATTTTTACTGCGCAGCTTTTATTCAAAGTTATCAAAAGTTTAACGCTCTTTTTGATCCGCATGCTCTTTTTAACTAAAAAGTTCCTCTCCGTTACTAGGTTGTGTATCTTACCGAGTTGTCCATGGAACAACAAACTGTCGCTGCTTTGCTTACTATTTTAAATTCGAAAGAAATAATTTTTGATCAGCTTTTGGAGGCAGACCAAAGTGAGAAAGTTGTCCCTCCCTCACCCGCAGCAAGAATTCTGGCGGAAATGAAAACAAGGTCAGTGAAGTTGTCTTCTTCATTTCGTGTTTATTATGCTTTCAATTTTGTAGGGCGCAGTCATTAAGAACTCGTGTAAGTCACTGTTTATTGTGTGATCCTCTATGCATTCAGCTGTATGAAACAATTTTCCTCTCTTAACGTGCCTGCCCGTCTTACATTCCTGACATAATGTAACGCGTGTGCCAAAGATGTCATTTACAATTTTCTTTTCCGCCATGGTGTGCTGCGTGCGTCACAACTTTTAATTGTTTTCCCGCCATGTAATAGTGATTAAAGTTCCTAAAGTCGCCATTAGATTGGTCACTCGTGCGTATAAAACCAATTTCTTAATCTTATTTGTGAGATAATGACCAATTATTGAATGATTTTACTCTGTCAAAAACTTGACACATTCTTTTTAGTGTTTTCTTATTGATTACTGCCTCTCGATCTTTCACTTTTCAGAGCAAGTATGGTGCTATCTGCCCAGATGCATGACTCATCCTTTATCACGGCCATTTTATCAAACCCGTCATTCGAGATCATCTCTAGATTATCAGGAGAGTGCGATCCAGGCTTAAGACTGCCTGTAATACAGAAACACTGCCAGCAGCTGCGAAAACTCTTCAAAGACTTCGTCAAACCAGAGCCACCCAAGAATGCAACCAAGATCGAAAAAAAGATATTGCTCGACGGAAGTCAGGTCTTCCCTCCCGTGCGGGGATGCGTTTTTACTGAGGGACACACCTGTGTTCACTTCATGGATGACCCTACGGCAGGTTCCGGACTTCCGAGGGGGTTGTTTGTTTATGCAAGTTCTCCGTTACCTCAAATGGTATGTAAAGTTATTTTCATTTGCGTGTCTATGATATCCAGCGTGCTTTTGTGTTGATTGGTCATTTGGATTAGTTTGGTTATGGTATTACTTCGTGGTGATCCTTGACTTCTACGTTGAGGCCATCTTCTTTTCCACGCATGTCCTTATTATCACGAGCCTCTCGAGTGAACGAATTTCAAACGATGAAATTCTACGTGCGCAGTATAGTTGTTAACCTACTTAGGTACACTAAGTACTCGTGAAGTTCTGTGCACTATAGAAGAGCAGAGTGGAACATCACTGTTCAGTGGAAATGGAAATGGAATATTTTCTCGTTTTTCGTCAGTAGTGTTGTTGAACCGCTTGGCTAACTACAGCTTCATTTTTTTTAGGCACCATCCTTTTACTGGGAAATCGAACTTTGCTCCCTAGGGGACAAGGAAGAACCGGAACCGGGTCCTTGTATTTCCGTGGGATTTGCTCCTAAGACAGATCAGCCTGCTAGTGGCTGGGTAAACCCCGTGGGCTCTTGCCTCCTACACAGGTTTGCTCTATTTGAGTTACTTTTACGTCTCGTGGGGTGCTGTTACCTGTGGGTTTGGCTTCTGTTTTTTTTTTTTTGGCTTTTTTGTTTTTTTTCAGTTATGTTTTTTCTTTAATCAAACATACTTGCAAGAACTTAATGTCGTTTTGAATATTAACAGCAATGGCCGTGCAGTGCTCTACAGAACAGGTGGGCTCCTTCAATGGAAAACTGTCTCGCTAAATATCGTGATGAAAGAAAGAGACGTCATTGGGTGCGGATATAAAAGAGCTGAAGATCAGGCCGATCGGGGAATGGTGTATTTCACTTGCAATGGCGAACGGTTGGCAGAAGGCGTAGACGGGGTGCAGACTGGTCTGTGGCCTGTACTTCACATTCAGAAGAAGGTAACACACCGTAACCCTTTGACCATCTAACTCCCAAGATCTGCTTGTTAATTCTCCTCTCTAGAAGCCACAAACTTCCTTGTGAATTAGTTACGAGAATTTGGTGTTAGATCAGGATAAAAACTTCCTCCTGATAAGTTTGATTATTCTCATTACGTGTTTGTTGGATAATGTATGGATATCGTGGGGAGAAATTGCAAGTCGATCACTTCTGGGAGTTAAAGGGTTTAATGATAATATAATGAGAATACTCACATCTATCAAGTAGAGGTTGTTATCTTGATCCGACACCAAATTCTAGTACCTAATTTACAAGATGTGTAGCAGCTAGAGGAGAGACTTAACGATCAGATCTTGGGACTTAAAAGGTATCTAGAACCAGCATCTAAGTTCTCCTTATGTTATCAGCCCTGAGTCACTTGTCAAGGTCACAAGAATAAGAGAAATGATCACTAACTGAAGAAGTTCTTCATTGTTTAGCAAGTTCTCCCTGTCTGCACCTTGGGAAATGTATAGAGAACAGTATGGAGAATATGCATACTGATGTTAGGTAATGTTAGCTACTGATGTTAGCTAATTCTCTTTTTGAAAAAATGGCCTATTTTTATAACATTTGCATGGAGCGAAACTTGAATTTTGGAATACATTCATTCGTCACCGGTTGATCTCCGCGGTGAGCAACCATCCAGGTCAAGGAACATTTGTCGAGGCATAACCCCAGCTTAAGTGGAAACTCGAGAATCACATGGAGTAATTTTAGGAAAGAATAAAAGATTCATCCTGACAGGTTTTTGTTGTATTTTTAATCGAATCTATTCCTCTACTGATTGGTTCCAACCATTACCTTGGGTCATACATATTGTCTAACTTTACTCTCCATTCCCATAGAATGTACGTGTTCGTGTGAACTTCGGTTCTCGGTCGTTCCTCTACGAAGAGGGTTCCAAACACCGTTTGGCGGCCGACTTGTGGAGTGACTCGTTAGTGGACGTCAGACAGGGATTCACTGAGCTTCCGTTTGCTCTCGAACCTGACCAGGATGAGGAGATAAAAGGACAAAAGCCTCCTAAAGTTTGTAAACCCTCGCCACCTACACCTGCACCATTAGATATCCCGAAAGACTCAGCTAAAGGTTAGTTAATGGTTAGTGGAGGTGACATTTCTCGGTTTTTGTGTAGCGCCCAAGTATACATGACAGGCAAGTGCAGTCACCTTCAAAGTTTGCTAAAGCTGTTACTCAGCGTGCGCGTAGTTGCATCGTTAAACAATGCTACACTGTCAGTAGTCAAACGTCTATTACTTGAACTGGTTTAGTCTCAGCCAGAATTAACACCGTGATATTGATGTAGACTATGACTACGACGATGACAATGACGAGACGTTAACAATGACGACGACGATGACGACGGAAGTAACGGTGATGATAATGATGATGATGATGATGATGATGATGATGATGACAACCGTGACGACATCAATATTATGACGAAAGTGACCATAACAAAAACGGTTACGTGTTAAAGGTGACGATGACGATATCAAATTTGGTTAAGATGATAATAACAACTTAAACTGAATAAAGACAATACAGATAATTAATGGTTACCAAACGACATCCTTTCATCAAGCTTATTCAAAAATGTCAAACTAAAATAAACGTGTTTGCGTGAAGCCCCAGTTCCGTTACTTCAATCGAATCCTGTTAGTACGTTTCAATGAATATCTTAACATTCAAAATAGATAGTAATTGAGGAACACTTCAAAGATTGATTCAAATTGTACCTCTTAACAATCACAGAATACGACCCACTGGCCTGCCTTCAGTACAAACTGACAAGTAGTTACAACAGAATGACGGATGTAGGACCAGTAACACCTCTCCGCGCGAGTGAAGAGAGCAACAGCCAGTGGGGAGAAGCCCCACCGGTAGATCCCTCTCGCTTGTTGGTGAAAGCGTGGGAGGACAAGGTTTTTCCCATCATCAGAAGACGATTTCGTTCAAACGCTGACCGCCAATCGGGGCTTGAGCAAATTAAGGGAGCTCTACTTGCAGGTATCATGGTGTATGATAGTTCGCACACTTTTGTAGACCTGTTTTGCATCTCGTCATATTAACGTGAATTAGTTAATTTTGTTGAACTGTTGTTAATAATCATTTTGAGGACACTGCAGCACCACCTGACCGAATGTTTCGCCTGCTTCTGCCTAACGCAACCTTTTTTCAAGTCTACGTGCCACTTGCGTATTCAATAATTCTGGTTTCTTTTTCCTAGGAATGACAGAGATCGCCATAGCAACAGTAGCTGATTTGTACGAAGATAATGGCGGTATCCCTTCAATCCTTCAATTTCCCACGCTTGATGACGTCAAGGCCGACGTTAACAAGGTGAGCGCGGGGGGACTGAGGCCAGGTCAGGCTGTTATCATTAATAGCCCTACTCTGAACCAGGCAGCCTGTGTACCTGGCTTTGCTGTCCCGGATATGAAGAAGACATTCGGACTTACTGGGGTGGTGAAGAATGTTGACAAGGTAAGTATCTGTAACATGCATTTAGCTTTATTCCACAATTAAGCTTAGATTTAACATCTTTCACCAAACACCACGCTTTCAGCGCTGTTGACTCTAACAATATGCAGCACAGAAGACATACAAGAAAATAGCTTGCATTTGTACTTGTCTTTAGGGCCTAAGACTTTGTGGTTACGTAATAAATACGGTGGAAGTTTAAATCCTTATTAGTCTACTTATTTTTCTTGAAGCATTTTTTTCAAACAGCAGTCCATAGAAGGCGAGTGGCTTGAAAAGATCGACGTATAAAGCCTTTTTGTTCCAAGCCAAGTCAGCCAATCCTCTCCTTGCATCTTCGGGGACACATTTTCTCATATTTTCTTCCAACAAAATTTCTGGATCAGGCTTGGCTGACTCTTGTGTTCCGTTTTCCTTTCCGTATTTCTCCTTTATGGGACTTGGATCACCTTCTCTTCTCTTCATTTTCATTTTGACTATTAAACGTCACTAGAGAGTAGTAGCTGTTGGGGTTATAGCACTGACTCGTTCACCGTATTTTGACTCTGAGCTGGAAACGTCGTGTGTGTAAAAAGATTAGAAAGAAGGTACAATATTGGTAACGAATAAAGAAAGTTGTTTTAAACGTTGTAATGGCTCGTTTTCTTTATGCAGCCTCAAGGATTAGCAGAAGTAGAGACATACAACAGAGAAGAAGGAATACTTATGAGATTCTGGTATCCTATCCGTACTCTTGAGCGGCCGACCGCTGGTCTGGCACGTTCGTCGTCGCTGGCATTGTGCAGCGAAGACCGCACCCGCGCCGATCTTTATTGTGAGCTGCTCCGAAATGAGGCTTGTATGACCCGGATGTACTGTAGAGAGGCGAATGCCAGGTTGCTTGCAAAGCTGGCAGAGAGTCATAACCAAATCTCAGGTAAAACTGTGGTGGAGTTGGGTAGGGTGGATACCATTCGTTTTCCCTCAGGGATCCATTTTTTTCAACTCAGTTCCATTGATGAAAACAGTAAGTTCTGTTGTCTGTGTCGGTGGAAATCTTAAGCATGTCTGCGTTTTCTTTCGATATCTTGTTTATTTGACACATGCACCTCGTTTACTTCATATTTTTTTGCCCAAGTTGTAAATAGGCCAACTTACAGCTATTTTGATATTAAGTTAAACTATATGTAAAATACTTTACCAGCTTTGCCTGCGTAAGGAAGCTTGTTTCTAACTGATCTTTATCTTTGCACGTATGCCACTTCCTCCATTCATGTTCATCACTCCGAATTTAAATCAATTCACTCTCTGTCTTGGACAAAGCGGCCTCATAGTTTACTATTATCGTGGGACACCCCCTACTGGAACTTACCCCTTTTGATGTAGTCTTTGTATGACAAGGCCCATCCTTCTTGGTATGAAGATTATTGACCTCCATGTTGTCAATTTCTAGATGTTTTATCGCTCCTCCAAGCTCTTACTGCCCAATTATTGGCTGTGCCTCAGTCCGATGGCTCTATTATCATGACGTCACCTCACTCAGCCCCAGGCCCCCGTCACTGCCTCACAGCCAACACCTTGCAACCAAGCACTATCTTCTTCAGTGAACCTGCGAAGTTAATTTCCGAGGTTCGTAAGTTGCTGTCTTTGGCAGCCGATCAGGACGAAGAAGAGGTCCTTAGGATGGTAAGTACTGTTTGTGAGGTGCTGAAAGATCCCCCCTTGGGCGGCCACCACCGGGAAATGTCGGTCGCGGCTGGAAAAGAGGACGAAGAGGTGTACTTCCCAGGCGCAGCGGTGACAGTGGTTTCGTGCAGAGAAGATCCCGGATGTTTAAATGCAGGGTATGTATGTGCTTATGGTTTCACGAGACAATACAAAAGCTGGCCTGGGTTATCCTCAACACTATCTAATTATTGCCAATCAACAGCATGTGCAAGCGACTAAGCCTAGCGTGATTAATCGTAATCAAGTACTATCGTTTCGTTACCCTATTTCTTAAGAGTGCGGGGCAAAAAGTTGGAACACAAGCGTTTGGGGCAAGAATAGAATAGAATAGAAGGGACGTACATCCTAACTGACCCCGTACACACTGACAGATTTTGCACTCAATAGCTCCTTACAGAAAGACATGATGCGAGGCTATTTTCTGTCGCTGGATTTAACTATGTATTGACCCATTTATTTATTTGTTTCAGGTGCTTGTCAAACCCCAAATCACCATGTGTGTCAATTTCATGTTATCATGGAAACCAGAAAGTCAATAAGAATGGCCAAGTAGCTCGGTACAAAGTTGTTCAGTATCCCAACACAGCCGAACCAAACAGCTCAGCATCAGCGGGAGCCGACCTGTTTCCAGATGTGATTCTTCCATGCAATCGTCTTGACGTTCGCTTCTTCAGCTCCGCTACGGAAGGACTCATGCTCCATTTAAACGCCTTTCCTGCGGAGTTCTTTATGTCACTTGTTTTCATTGAAGTCTTTATTTCATTTTACCTGGAAAATTCCTTGGAGGGTTTCAGAAATTCGAAGAACAAAAGTACTAGTGGTGTCGAAGATGTAAGCAGCCGGAGAAGTTTGAATCAGAGGACTATTGTTTACAACTTGATTGACATTCTCAGTTCGTTTCTTATGAAGTCGGATTTGCCCGTTGTTGTCAAGGAGATTATTTATCACCTACTGGCACAGCTTATCAGAGCTTGTCATCTGGTGGAATCACAGGGAAACCAATCTCACAGTGCCGACCATTGCAGCACGTTGGACTTGGCCCTGTCGCGATTGAGTCCCTTGCGAGTTGAGCTGCAGAAATTGTTAGAAAAAGAACTCTCGGTTACAAACACAGCAGCGCTGGATTTCATTCTCAACTGTAACTTTGAACACAGTGAGTTCTCGTCTTACTTGCAGGCTCTTCTAGGGTTGGTTTCAGCAACCAATGAAGTATCATCAAGCCAAGGAAAATCGGGCAGAGGTATGTCCCTGAAGGAAGTCCGCGAGGCTTTACAAGTGAGTACAGCTTTTCTAGTAACTACCTCTCCTCGTACTCTGTATCCTAACGTAAGCAAAAGGCACAGAAGAGTGGTTAGTCTGAAATTTTACCCGGCTCCGGGTAGTATTAGATAGGTTTGACTTAAGAGTGGACATGAGCTGCGAGAAACTCCTTTGTTTGGTACCAAAGAGAGGGAAACTCAAAATTGTTTAATAAGCGAGAAAAGCGTCGCTTACTCAAATGGGTCCTAAACACCTGACTAAAGAAAGGCAAAGCGTAAGGATTTCGAATCTGTGGCTGTTGAACTGACGTGTCAAGCAATCAGCTTACATTCAACCGGAAGTCGATTGTAACAAACACGAATGTCTACTGCAACCGATTTGGCTAAAAGCGCGCCATAAAAATATCTGTTCCATCCTCTTGATGCAAAAATCCATGTTTGGTGAGGGAGGCTTTTTATTTTCATGTTCTATTTGCTTTTTGTAACGAAGTAAACGATGATCTAAGAAAACTTGGAAGACTAGGAGAAGAAATGGGGGTAACACTAACCTACCTTTTTCGTTTTTTTTTAGGCTGCGGTCTCTTTGGATGAGACTGACAATGTAGTGCGGTCTGCTCCACCAGAAAGTGTTGACAACATGTTTAATTTTGAAGCGGAAGCTGTTTATCCTCCTTCGGCCACGGAGACTGCGGCGTCGTCCGGTCCTCCTTCCCCAAAGGTTAAGGCGAGCGAAAGGCGCGGTAGTGTTCGTCGGCGTAAAAGAGGTTTCGGACATGGTGTCACGTCTCCCACAGAGAGCATGCCTTGGTTTGATAAGGTCGTCGGCACCACACTGCTGCTGAGAAATCTCATTCATAAAGATTCAAGGGGGTCTTCCCAACTCTCTGATAGTTTGGCTGCGGTCATTGCTTCCAAAAGTACAGCGCTGCAACGACTTCTTATCATCACCAACATTTCTACCTCCTTGAGTAAGAGAGAAGCTCTGGAGGCCATTAAGAAAGCTTGCAGACCAAGTGGAGGCATCTACGAGAGCGTACTTTACATTCCAGTGGTCGAGTCGCGCAGTAAAACAGAGGAGCCAGGCAAGAAGAAGGAAAGTGAAGAGGTGGATTCCAGGCTAAAGTCAGTGACGGAACTTCTACCCAGTGCCCAGAGAGAAAAGCCCGACAAGATACTAGGTTATGCTGTGGTGGAGTTGAAGAGTTCAAGTCAACTTGAGCTAGTGTATCAAACCTTAATGTCTAGTAAGACGTTAAAGGATCCGTCATTGACAGACTCCACCGTTGGTGTGGCTAAGGTCAACTCTGAACTACTTATGGAAGGAACTAACGAGCTCGCCGCTTTTTCGGTTTTTGATGAGTTTTTAAACGCTAGGTTGTATACCGATGCTACAGCCAAATTGCTCTCTGAATCGGCGAAGACAGCTCTGGCAGAAATTTTCTCGAGCTGTGCTCTCGTTTCTAGAGATGATTCGTCAAATGCCGCAGAGGCTAGATCCACGAGTGTGGACAGTGTAACTGACACAGCTCTGCAAACTGCTGCTGTGGAACTACAGAAAGCTGATACCGTTAGTGAAGGCAGCACAAACAAGGCAGAGGATACTGAATCTCAAGGTCAAGTCGAGACAGACTCAAGGTCACAGGAAATTCCGCGCCGAGATACAGATTCACTCAGTAGTAATGGTGTGCAGAGCGAGACGCAGTCCAACCAGAGCAACTTTGCCTCCATAACAAAAGTACTGCTGACAAACGATCAAATTTGTAGGGTTACACCCGGAAACTTGCTGTTATCATTTTTCAACGCCGTGCGTCACGCTAAAGAATCAACCACACAACTTGTGACCCAGATCCTAAGGAATTACGGAAGCCCTGTTGAAGGAACCGATGAAAGAGTGCTTGGACTTGATGGCTTTCATAACTGGGCGCTGTCTCGTGGCAGTCAAGATGTTCGATCGATATGGAAAGGGCTTATTGCCTGTGGTTATGATCTGCAGTTCAAAAGGTAAAGTCTGATTAACTGTTCTTGCTTTTCGCTGTTATGGCATGAGTGGAACACCCTTAGCTGATTGCTTAGTAATTCTCCCTACCTGTTTTGCTAACTGAAATGTTAAGGTCATAAGGAGAACTGACTATTTAATCACATATGGGAAGTCAGAAGCAAACGACTGACTCTCGACCTTGGACTTACGACCCCAGTGCTTAAGTTTGGATTTATGTTACTGTACCATAGTAACAAATTCAATTGTCTCTAGAGGTAGCAGGCACGTAAAGGCCATTTGCCCAACCAGCACAAATGATACTGCAACAAACTCTATAGGACCAGAGATAGCAAGGACTGAATCTACTGCCTTTTTCAGAACATTTTGTACTTTCACGCACTGTAATTTAAAATAGAACGAAAATGTTTAAGTTGTTTGAAGGATCTTTTCAAAAGCATTACGGAAACCTCCTACCATTTGTGTAACACAGAGGGCTTGTGCTTTGGTCCATTGCTTCATTTACAGTGTTAGATAGCAGTGCTATCGGTTTGAATGATTCTGTGGAGTTATTACATGATCTAAATGCTAGCACCATGTTTATTGTTAGGTGCACTTACTTTCTTCCGTCTGAGATGGAATCAGATCATGCTAACTGGCCTGTGGCTCGTGACCACGCCCTTGTCCTGTATGTGGATACCCTGTGTCGGGCATGGTCTACCACTCCGTCCCGTCTGATGCCGGATGAACTCCTTCTCTCTGAGGTGGACCTGACAAGCGAAGATTTCCGTCAGTTACAGGGTGTGTAATGTGTGTAAGGTGTTTGTTTGTTTTGTTTTTTTTTTAATTTTTTAAAATTTTTTACAGATTTTGTTATCTCTGCGTTATCTTCCTCTATTAAAAAATGTTATAATCCTCGTCAAAAGTTGGCTAACGTTAAAATGCAGCCAGGTTTATAGTGTTTTCCAGAAACACCAGGGGCAATTTTATTACAATGTGATCATTGAAAAAGAACAGAAACACATGTCAGCTTGATGATGTTATCTTAATTCTCTTGACCGATTTGCAAGGAAAAGCTTAGTGATCGGAAGTAAGAAATGCGAATCGAGTATTAGCAGTTGAAGAATTGACGTTTTTTCCACTGTGTCCTAGGTGTGTCTTTAAGAAGCCTGAGAAGTCGTTTTGCGTTCCTCAAGTCATTAAACGCAGACGTAGAACGCCTACTGTTACCTGTGACCGACTTTAGAGCCGCTGAGACGTTTAACCTTAGCACCGCTGCCCTTCTGAGAGATGCCCGCGGGCTCCTTTTTTATCACACCAAGGTAGCGTTGTTGAATCACGTGCTTAACCACACTGCCCATCGCGAGGCCGATGATCCGCCGCCCGAAGTCTCTATAGATCCACTGCAGTCCTTAGAAGGTTTGTTCCTTTGCCATAGCATTAGGTTGTTACTTGAGTTGCACGAGAACTATTAAGAAGGCTCCTTTGATAATTTTTGTGTAGACTAACTTTCTTTCTTAACATTGTACAATGTTTCCTTGATAAGTGAACTTGCCAAGTGTACATCCCAACTTTTAGTTCAACCGCCCCTTTTTAACACTTGATAGTGGCGCGTTGCATATAACACTGGTTTTTGTCGTAGTTTGTAAGTTTTACAGGCGCAAAACGTGAAAAAAAAAACCAATAAATGTGGGGTTATCTACTTCCTGTTTCATGCCGCAATTTTCAAGCCAGGTGGAGCATGCTGAATGATAGTTGTCCGTCCCAACCCCCCCCCCCCTTCTCCCTGCGATTCTGTAGGGTTCCTGATGGCACTGAGCGTTGATATCAGTCAAACAGTTTTTCAAGAATTCTCACGAATGACTTATGATGCAATGCGGCCACCTCCAACACTTTTTCTAATGATATACAGAGTCTATTTGACCCATATATATTGTTAATTTTACTCTGCTTTTCGCTTCAGTGGATAAGGTGTCTTCAGCTGGGCCGCAGTTCTGTCAGGCCGCTCATAACATTACTGCAGTTCCTTCCAGTGGACTCAGAGTCAAGGTCGCCACCGGTGGAGACCCAGTCTTCCCTCTGAAAGTTGTACTCCAGGGAGAGCAGGTCCTGGGGTCAGGTAATGCTAACGAAACATTTCTCAGCGCGATGTGACTTATTTTTTCATACATCTTGTTCATTAGCCAGGGCTTAGATATGCACAATTTCCCATGTGAAAACTATAGATGCTTACTTGAGTGGTGATTACCACTCTGACTGACCTTCTGATCGCATGCCACTGGGTTTTACATCTTTCTTGTGTCTTTTTCTAGGTGGTTCCTTCCGTCACTTTATGTGGCTGATGGCGCGTGAACTCCAGGGTAACCATGTGGGGCTTTTAGTGCCATGCCCTAGCTCTGCTGCCAACAAGAACAAGGTGCGTCCTCTGAAGTATTGACAAAAATTACTAAAATCAGCACACGAGGGACTCCACTAAGAGGACTTGATGAAGGAACCAGTTAGCTAGAAAATTCAAGGCTTTACCGTGCGTTTCACTTCCTTCCGTTACACCCCTTTCTTCTTGCCTCAGTCATATGACACAGTAACTAAGTATATAAAGGCTGTAAAAATTGAAATTTTTTTTGTGCTTATCATAGGGAAAGTTTATTTTGAAGCCGGGTCCTATGACATATGCGGAGGAGGAATTGCTCATCTTCTTCGGACAGGTGAAGTTCAACTGTACATACATTTTTTACTTGTGCATTCAGTTAAGAGAACCTCACTTCTTTAACAAAACCGGCATTTTATCTTGAACATGGAAGTCCTAAGCCACTTGTTGCGAGAAAAATATGTAGTATCGCAGTTTGCTCTGTTTTACGTTTATATCCAATTTTCATGACTGTGTTTCCGCACCTTAAAGCGCTCCAGAGCTTCTCCTGAAAGTTCGCTAATTTAATTTTTAGCCTATCTTTTTGCTGTGCTATAAGTGCCCTTGTACCAGTAAATGAGATAAATTTGTATAATAGTAATATAACACTCGCCAGCCGATTGGTTTATCTACCCTCATCTGGATAACGTCTTGATACTATTAGAAGGAGTTACGTGAAATTCACTTTTTCCACACAGCTGCTGGGAATTGCACTGAGAGCTGATATTCCACTCGCTCTGGATCTGTTACCTTGCTTCTGGAAAAGCTTGTTGAACCTCCCGTTGGACCCGCAGGACGACCTCAGAGAAACTGATATTCTCACTTACAACTACTTGCGACGATTTTCGGAGGTAACGTTAACTTCTTGGGTGGGTTGTTATTCAAACATCCGTTTTCCCGAGTTAGTATTTAGCCGGTAGAGGGCTCACCCTCTTTACTTAGGGCAGTAGGAAGAGTTCTCCTGTTGTAGGTCTTAGGCTAGTGTCTTTCGGGCACCCAACGATTTATTGTTTATCCCTGACGAAGACTGAGGTAGCATGCTACATTGACGCACTGGTTCTTCCTTGTCCGCCCCACCCTTACAGGTTGTCTATCGTGAGTTGTTATTGTCGTTGTAGTTGTCGCTGTTTGTAGAAAATTTCTCTTGAACTCTAGCGATACATAACTTGTGCAAGACGCCTACGGCAAATGTCTGCTTCTGGTTGTTTCTACTCTTGATTTAAGATCCATTTTCATGTACTGATATACGTTTTTTTATTGGAGTAAAGGACATTTTAACAAGATCAGACTTAGTTTTGCGCTATTTGAATGGAAGTGCTTGATGATACCCTTTCCATGTTACATCCTTTCTAATAAAAAATTTTCAGCTGTTAAAAACTGTTTAACGTCAAAATCAATGTATTTAAAAGGATACAGGCGACCTCGGATGGTATGTGTGACTTATATTTATTGTGTTTAAGGTGGAAAGCGCGGAGGAATTTCAAACGTTGTGTTTTGAAGCTGATCTGTGCCCATACCGATTTGTTTACACCTCCCTTGACGGCGAAGAAGTAGAACTGTGTGAAAATGGAGCTGATGTAGCCGTTACGTAAGTAAAAGATGCACTGTGGGGATATGTATTCTGTGTAACCAAACAAAGTTCAGTGTAGACTGAATACTTCAGTGAATCAATCGATAAGAATCTGTCACGTCTTTCTTACAAGAAGTGTTCATTAGATAACGAATAATGGATGAGTTTTTAATAGATTGAGCTTTTGTAGACTATGAAGTTTAATTACACAATAATTTTCTTTTTGTGGATAAGATAACCTTAAAATCCGCACCCTCTCTTATTCGTTGGCGTTGGCAAAAAATTTTTCTTTTTCTCCTGTAGATGGGAGAATCACAAATCATACGTACAAGCAATTAGGGATTTACGACTGAAGGAGCTGCGATGTGAGTCCCGTATGGCGGCTGTTCGGTGTGGTTTGTCTTCAGTAGTCCCTCTGCATGTACTTACAGTCATGACTCCACTGGACATGGAGATTCGAACGTGTGGGCAACCCTCTCTTGACCTAGGATTTCTCAAGGTTTGTCAATCTATTTCATCATTTTATATGATTAATAATCGCACTAATACTTGAGTACAGTAACGAAGTGGAATTCGAGGGTTTCGCTTGTGATTTTCTTGTCTTTCACGAGCCTTTTTTTGTGAGTATTACGATGTTTCTTGACGCCTCATGGGTCTATAAACTTACTAACCTTTACCAGAGAAATTGGAAGTGTGCCTTTTGATTGCCAGTCGTAAACCGATACAAAATTATCAACACAGCCTATCAGAAAAAAAGGTTAACATTATGAGGAACCACTCAGAACTTGATTGATGAAAAAATGCATGCAATAGATTAAGGCGCCGCCTACGTGGTTGTAAGGAACGAGATCGTGGACTAACAAATTTGTCTTTTTTCCCTTTTCTTTTTTGTTAGGCGCACACTTGCTATGTAGCAGGAGTAAAAGATACTGATGTGCACATTGAATACTTTTGGAACACAATGGAAAGTTTTTCTCAGGTTTGTGATTCAACCCTCAAACTTTCAAGCTCTGATTAGTAAATCTCTGTTAGCTGCTTCACGTTTACTTGAAAGTTAGAGAATTGGTATTTACGTCATCATTTCTCCTTTGACCACGAGATTACATGAGGACATGTCAAAATTGTCAAGAGAGGTTACCTGTTGGTGAATTTTGGGAATTATGACATGAAATATGCTATTAGTACGTATACTTTTTTAACGTGCAAGGGCGAATATCTTTTGACTGTTATATGTCTGCTTCGTGATAACCCTTGAGAAGGAGAAGTAGAGAGACGCTTGGCAAAAATGATTCTGGTCTTGTTGTGAGAAAAATGTTTCAAATGAAAGAAGCCAAACTCAAGTCCCTCTTTTTCCAACCTCGTTTAGCCAAGAAACAAAAAAGTCAAACAACTATAAAAGCAGAACAGAAGGACAACCATGAGATGGCGTTAAGAGTGTTGTCGCAAAGACAGCGGTCATCTCAGAGCAGTTCATATAACTTTGTTCCCTTCCTCGCTTTCAGGATCAGCTGCGAAAATTTGTGAAGTTTGCATGTAATCAGGAAAGATTACCAAGCCGATGCACTTGTCAGGATGGCAATCCTAACACAGCTGATGTACATGTCCCACCATACCCCATGAAAATTGGTCCCCCAGACGGGAGAGGTGAGGTGCAACTTTTGTAAAAGATTTTGTCCTTGTGATTGGATAACAAAATTATTTTATGGTGACTCGCGGAATTTCCACCTTTTTTTTTTATTGTCGATATTAATTTGTTGTTAAGGAATAACTGCCCCCGCAGGGTTTTGGCCCAGAGGCCAGCATACAGTTAATTGTAGTAGCATATAGTAACTTTTCTGACTACCATCAGCTCTGAAAGAGAGGTGTGGAATATCAAACGGCATTTTTATGTCAGATAAGGAAGGCAATTATATATATTCCAAGTTATAGAGCTTTTGAAGAGGACCTGGGCTGGTGAAAGACGTATTGATCCGAGTATATGATCCGAGCTAAACTTGTTGTGGGGTGGGGAGAGGGGACTTTTCGAAGTAGGGGTACCTTACAGGGGAACAACTGTTATAATTGTAAGGTCTTTGTTTTTAAGTTTGTGCGACCAAGGCTACGGTTGGAGCGAGGTTTCTTCGTACATCAAGCGTAGGGTATAGCCTTTTTTTTGGCTTTTTTGTTTTGGTGACAAAAACAAAAAATTCCGGGTTATATCACATTTCAGGTCCTTCAGACGCGCGGTACATACGGGTTGAAACTTGTATGTTTATGGTGAAACTGCCGCAGTACTCGACCCAGGAAATTATGACTGAGAAGTTGTTATATGCTATCAACTGTCGTGAAGACCCTCTGACGGATATCACCTAATACTGTTTAAAGGCAAGTCTGAAACCGGGAAAAAAAATCTCGTCATCAACTCATAAGAAGAATTCAATTACAAGTGAACCGGAAGCTACGTATTCGGTTGTTTTTGCGCTAAGAACCACGAAAGACATTTGAAAGAAAAGACAATGACTACATTCTGTTTCTTTTGTGGATTAACTGCACCTTCTTGCCTTGGATATTATGCCATAAAGACATGCCCATGCATCAGTGTGGAAAAAATTTCTACGATTTGACTTATAGGTTGCAAATATTTTTTAATTCAAGTTGTTTCCACGATGAATTGAAACGAATTTGAAGCTCTCTTGGATCAGATATTTATGCTTGGCTTTTGAGCAATCGAGATTGTTAATGTTTTTAACGTAACGAAATTAATCGTAACAAGCATCTCTTTGCATCTGCCTTTTACGGATCTTTTACCCCATGACAGTTGATATATTTAGACTTTGTCCATTCCCTGTGTAATGATTCCATTATGCATGTGGGAAGAAGTAAAGAATTAACTTTAAAAGAAGTCTTTTCAAGGAAAATAGTAAAAGACTGCGAAGAGTAAGGAGTATTTTAAGATCACAAGATCACTGAGTTAAGGAGTTAAAAGAATCAAGTGAACATTGTTTTGAATTGATAATTTCTAGAAGAAAAACAAAATGGATATTTTTTTAAGTATTACTATGATAGAAAAATAAAATTGAAAATTGAAAGTTCCTTTTCTTGCATTTCTCATTCTGTTGTAGCTAAATTATTATTTTCAGGGCCACTTTTGTTATTGTTTCTTGCTAGTTTTCTTTTTTCCTGTCCTGACCGTTGGTATAAACGTGATTTTACGAGGAGAAGGAGTCAAAGAATGATCGTGAGCGTGTAAACAGGAATATGTCAATTAAAACAGACATTTTAAGGCGCAGTTTACATTGAAATGGCCTTTTGACTAGGCGGCTCTTCACAAAAGAATGTTTTTTTTCGTTTCATAATGCTTCCACCTAAAGCCGAGAAAATTATTTGAAATGCAAATTCCAACATGAATATTCAATTTTCCAATGCAACACCCAAACGGAACGTTCAAGAAGCTATCTTCGAAACCAACGACGTTCTGCAGTTTCGATGGAAAAGAGTTTTAAAGTCAACGTTGCCATTGTTATCAGTGGTTTATACGGTCAAGCTTCGAAGAATAAAGAGGAGGGACATCATCTGGTGGCAAACAAGACTTCCACGTTGAGGTAATGGTCGCCGACACGTGCATCGCATATAAATTGTTGTCGTGGAGTATTTGTTCCTAGAAACATTTGAAGGAAGGTAATAAAACAATTTTTATTCATATAGCTATTATTTAAGAGGCGCAGGATCGATATTTAGAATAAATGTGCTGAAACTTTTTACCAATAACGATTTAACCAACGGTTATTTCGGGGTGGAGTGGAATAATAATTTGGGAAGGGAGGATCTCTTGACTTGCAAAAGGTTTTCATTGCCGAGAGGATGAAAATTCTTCGCTAAATTCTGTGTCCTATCAGAAATTTATTCATTTATTTAAGCATTCAGTACAGTACAAGGTACTTTGCGCGAACAAACAATAGGACTCGGGGTACCCTACGAGGTCTACGTTATACATATTATGAAAGAAAACTTTCTCGATGCTTTTGTCAAGTAAAACTCGTTAAAATAGAATTTCTCCTAAATCAGTTCCCTTTCCCACGGCAAAGGTCGAGGTTGTGCCAACTACACTTGAGAATCATGTTTTGACCGATCGAAAGTAAATTCTTTGAAATGCGGTTTTGTCCGACAAAAAAGAAAGTAGTTTTCTATATGTCATCCAGAAAAGATATATAACAGGAGAAGTGCATATGAAAATGGGTCACACGTATTATTCAATATATATTTAATATGCATTCATCTTTCATCAGGTAGATGTTGAACTCGGGATAAACAAAGGCGAAAATTAGCAGCAAAGGGAAAAGTAGATGAAGAGAATCACAAGACAGACGAGGGAGGAGACGTTATTGTAATCAGGTAAGTTAGTGGTATAATTATGTTGATACCAGCAGTTTAATACATTTTACGGGTTACAGTCAGTGCATGCAGATTGTCATATTACTTAGGGGGGGTTTTAGAAATATTTTAGATATGTTTTTGACCGGAGGTTTACTTAAATTAAAAAGTGAAAATTCAAAAACTCAGTCTAATAAAAATTCACAATAAGAAAAAGACCAGAGTACAGCGGAGAATGGTTGCACGAGCTTTTGACCAACAATTCTTGCCCATTTTTGCCCATTTTTGGCGTCTACCACCATTTCGGTTACCACAACATCGTTTTCCAATTAGCATTGCTCTGATGATTTTTTGTCTCCGGGTTCTGGCTTTCAGACTCTGAAGCTTGTTTCTTAATGGTATTGATTTATAACTTATAAAAAAGCATGTCGATAGTAGCTTGAGCTGTTCAGGTGGTTATACATCCATAATTTTAATCAACACTCGAACCTTTTTTCCATGCCATCGTTTAAATTTGTTGATAAAAATCGATGCAAAACAGTCCAGGAAAAATTCGATTGATATCTGAAGGATATGCAGCCTGGGTTAAGCCAATGAGCTTTACTCGTATCTCAATAATTCTTTTGACAACTTTTAACTTTTGATGAAGCCAAACAGATTTGTTCAAATCTTCGTAATGCTTTTGTCGGTTTTTTTCTCTCCATTACTCGGTATTTAACATTCACACTGTTTCCTGAGTTGGCAACCGAAAAGGACGAAACGTCTCTGATTTTAGAGAGATGTGTAAGCTATTCCTTTTAAAAAAACCAAGAGAATTTCAGTCAATTATCATTGAAAGTCTATGACACCTACTTTTTGCGCCATCTAATTTCAACTCTCATTTACCTTTGACTTTTCGCGAATTCCAAGATTCTTTTGCAAGATTACAAAGGTGCACGTTTCACTCATGTCAGTTTTTCACAGAAATTAAACGAAAAGTATCGTTGAGTGATACAGAAAGAGGCGTTTGGATTTTGCTTCGTTGCGTAAAAACTCAAATGAGAATTGAAAAGAAGCAAACAAACTCAGTTCATTATGATAATTTCGTTTCCGAATTTTTTTTTGCTCGTGCTTTTGGTGTTATGCAAAGAAAATTTCACAGCCGCCTTTTAAAAGGATAATATTATTTTACTAGGCTTACGGCAATCTGCTTGTACAGGTTATAATTATTTATAAACTTTTGATTTTTTTGTTGTTGTTATTTTGTTTTTATCTAAACTTTTGATATCTGCATTAAATGTAAGGAGAGGTAAAGACTGCGACTGCTTGACATTCGAGGCCAGTTTGCCTGCGATGTTTAGGGAACTCGAATAATGATGAAGTTTGCAACTTGGTTTACCGTTTAAAGGATTCAGTGAATATAACATTTGAAATAGTAGATGTATTTATCAATTCTGTTTTTCTTTGCTCCTGCAGATTGCTGAATGGATGACAACTGAAGTCAAGATCAGGAAAAAACACCTGAAGATAATTATCTCGTCAAAATCAACCTTTTTTAGAGATACTAAAGGAACTTCACTCTCTGGTGTTTGAATTTGTAGAGGAGTTTTTAAACTGAATTCTTTCCGTTTGATTTCTAAAAAACCTTCCTTCATTCAAACAGTTCCTTTGCGACTAGGACCATCATTACATTTTGTACAATGACATGTTATTTACAATTCAGTGCTTAGTAAATTAAATGTCTTTTTTTTCCTCGAGGTTTTTCCTCTAATAACAACTGTTAAAAAATTATTTTTCCCGCCAAAAAACTTTTAAAAAATACAGGCGCCCAAAATACGCATGCGCCATAATTCTTTTTTTTTTGGTTTCATGACATGTTAGTAACATCAGTTTAAAATCGCGTAATTTTCCCGCCAAAAAACTTAGAAAAATACAGGCGCCCAAAATACGCATGCGCCGCCTTTTTTTTCTAAGTAGAATATATACGCTTTTATATCTTTCTTGTCTGTTATTAAATAAGTCAACGAAGTTATTTCATTTTGTGATCTTTATTTTCTTTCTGTCAATCAACAATACAGATATTTTGTCTTTTATTTACTTTATTCTCTTCTAAAATTCCTTAACTAGTTAAGTGACTTTCCATTAAATAATAAAACACTTGTCGGGAAAATTTTGTTCAAATATATACTAAGACTTTTGGCGGGAAAATTTGGAGCAATTTGCACAAAGTTTCCCCTGATGGCTACCCCTAAAAATTTCCGCAAAAAGATATGTGAACATCACCTTGTGCAAAATTTTCTTCCTTGTCATTTCTAAACAACCCTAAGCTCTGAGTTCATTAAATTGTATTTTCCTTCTTTTTTTTTTTGCACAAGGTTATATAAACATTGCTTACTCTACCAATAAGCAACATGACAAGCCACTATCTACTGTTATATGATAAAATTTGTGAAGTTTGTCATGCTGAGACCTTTTTCAGCCGTTGAATTTCTGTTTGTTGCGCAGGAAACACTTTGACTCAAACTGATCAATATCTGTGACCAAATCATTTAAATTTTCAGTCTTTCTTTGTGGCGGAGTTAGCTGTTTTTTTTTTTTTGTCTTTTTGGGTCGCAAGGTTCAGACAATCTGGATAACTGCTTAGCTCCTGGTATCTTTGAAAGTCACTGAGATAAAATTTTGGTTGAGTTCATTTACACACAATAATCTTCAAATTCTCTTTCTCGTGGGCGGCCAAATTAAGTTTTCTTTTCTCTTTGGTTGCAAAGTTCATGCAAGAAAATCTGATATCGTGTATTTGAAATTACTGAGACAAGATTTTTTTTGTTCGTTTTATTTTTTTTCCATCAATGAATTCAGATTCAATCTTCAAAATTTCCTGTGTAACATTAATTTCAGGCTGAAAGAGATCTTTCTGCATTACAAATACGATAAAACCCAATGTCTGGTTCAAACAATATTTTTTTACGCAAACATATTTTGATTTAATGTAACATTCAGCGAAAAACCTTAGCAATAAGTTATTGCAGACCAAGACCAGAAAAAAATCCAAACTCAATCCATTTCTTCACTTTTCCTTCTTCAAGACAGGAAAATTTGAATTCATAACAATCCTGACAATATCTCAAGGGTTAAGGTCACTGGCATTTCTCACAGGAATTCTCGTTTAATTTAAACGGACAATTGTATTTAACAACAAACTATGCGAAAATTTTCTCTTTCAAAAAGTTTCAAGTTTGTTGTTAACTAAAGCCTCGCATTGAATTTGTTTAACTTCTTGTTTTCTTGCAGCTTGTGCAAGACAAATTTAGTTCAACACAAATTCCACTTTTTCCTTTTTCTTGAGTTTGTCAGGCAAGTCTGTTTGCTCGTAGCTGCTACTGCATGAGTGAACTGTGATTTGAAAGATCAGTCTTGATCTTAACCCTTTGATTGAGCTCGAGGCAACTACTGTTGGATTTGTGACCAAGTGTTCTATTTCAATTGCCGTGTCTTTTAAGGTTTTTTAAGTGATAAAATGCCCCCAACTGTTTGACGTATTGCTTTTTTTTTGTATAGAGGACAAATTTTACTGGTCTGTAGAACTGCTAAAGTGATACCTTTTCATGAAAATTCTAGTAATCCTCTGAACCAGACAATTAGGATTTATATACTTAACTTGCAAAACGACAAGAGAACGTAGGCAAATAAA